TAAGATTAAATTTTTAGTTCATCGAGAGAGTTGATTCTAGCGAAATGAATTGAGAACTCTGGCAACTTGGCTGCAAGCATAACTGCACTTTCTATTTTCTCCTTACTGACTTAACTACAAAGGCAAAAAGGCCTACCAGGCAGAATTCAAATCAGCACGTCTCGACGCAAAGCTTCAGATATGAATGAATAAATCAACTCGTAGCTAATCATTTCGATGGTTTTTAATAAATTTGATAAATAAATTTTATTTAATATTTTATTTCAAAAAGACAATTTCAAAATTCCAAAAATTTGCATTATTTTTTTTAGATTTCAATTTTATCTTTGTTTTATTTAAAAAAATTTTTTTTACAAACTAATTTCGTTCCAAATTATGTTTTTTTTCAAATATTGTTTTCTCAATTTTTTATTATTCGTTTATTTAAATTCATTTAGAAAAAAAGAAGTTTAATGGCAAAATTTATAATTTATCAAATGCAATAAATTAATTTAATTATTAATTTAATTATTTAATCATTAATTTTGAGAAAATTTGTATTTCGAATTATGGATTAGCCTAAATGAATCGAATTAAATCGAACTGCACAAAGCGTTCCACTTTTTCATACAATTCAATAAGATTTATAGTAAATTTAATTCGACCAGTTTTAAGCAATCATTTATGATGAATGAATGAAATTAAAAATAAAATTTTCATTTTTTAATTTTAAAACAAAAAAATTTTTTTCGAAGAAAAATATGGAAATTTTCCCTGAAAATCCAATATAATCTGAATAATAAAATAAAAATAGTGTATTCTACCGAAATTATAATTTATATTAAAATATGAGTTCAAAATAATTTCCTAAATAAGAAAGCTAAGAACGATGAACGATGATTGTAAGTGCGAATAGTAGAAAAATAGAAAATATACATGAAAGTGAAATTTAAAAAGAAAAATTTATTTTAAAATTTATTTTAAAATATTTTTTGTATATCAGAAAACTAATCGAAAAAAGAAATGCGGGATAAAATTATCACTATTATTATCACTATTATCACTATTTTTGTTATCATTATTGTAATTATGGTATTATGATGATCTTTTATATATCCATTTAGTTTCGTTTTCCGATTGTGTTTTTAATTTTCAGCACTGTAAAATAAGCCATAAGTCATTATTTTATAATGTAAAATTTTCAGTAGAAAGATTTGTTGATTTAGGAAAAAAACTATAAAAAAAATTATAGATAAAGTTTTGAATTAGTAATGATCGATGAACCTTTGAAGGAAGCATAGAAGAACGACCACTCAACAGGAAAACTGTTAACAGCCCATTGTTGTCGTTTATCATTAGCTGCTGCTTTTCGTGTAATTTGGGTATCCTTGGTAAGCAGTAACCATTGTTCACGTTTATCGCTGAGTCGAACGTCTGAGTCTCGCAGATTATCAGTCTGACCTGGTTTGCTTGAAGTGCAAGCACACGCATCCCTTTGCTAAGGTCCTCGGCGTATTTCTTCACTGGTCCCACTGTTTATGGAATTAATTAATTATGAAAACAAAAGAGCCGAGAAGGAAAAGCATCCAATCGTTTATAGTCGATGAGGCTGACGTACGACGTGGAGAAAACGTGGAGAAATAGAAATGTTTAAGCAGAGACTTTTGAACGTCGACTTCTATCGCTGTTCCATCAAATCAAATGGATCACCACCAATGGACCCGAGACGAAATTCCGGAACATTACCAAACTCCATTAACTGCAAATTTGTCTTACCTCAAGACTCGAGCTTCAAACATGAATTAGCAGAACCGACCGCAGTTAATCTGAATTTTCCAGCTTTTAAAATAGCAGCTCAGACGGGAAAAATATTTCAGTGTTATTCGGTAATTATTTTACGCAAATTTTTAAAAAATTTTCATTTCAATTTTTTTTTTCTGATTTTAATTTTATTTTTATTGTTTGAAAAAGTATTTCAAGTTTTCTGCAAATTTCCAATTGAGATTTTTTCAAATTTTTCTCTACCATCTTTTTTATTTTTTAAATTTTTATTAAATTTGCAATATTTTAATCAAATTTTTAGTGCTTTCAATGAATATATTGAATGAAGAAATTGGATTATCGAATTCAGCGACGAATTCAATCGCTTCCTTTCCTTCTCGTACTGTTTTTCTTTTTTCTTCGATTTTTCAATTTGTAATTTATTTTCTATTTTTCTTAAAATTTGCTTGTCAGAAATTTTTCTATGGTTGATTTTAATGCTTAATTTTTTTTTTTTTTGCGAGTGATTAGCATTTCGATTTGACTTCCTTCTCTGACTTCTTTGCAAAAGATAAGTTTCAAGCCAGGTAATCGCTTAATAAAAGTATAAATGAGTTGCCAGCGCACTTCTTGGAATTTTAAAAAACGCCTTTACCAAGCGCAGAACGCCCAATGCGGCACAAAACTTACTGAACTGAACCATTCAACCATTATTTAAAGTTATTCCGTTGATAAAAATTTTGAAATCCCAGGAATTTAGTGATTTTTTGTTAAACAATGTGTTTTACTTATAGCTTTTTTTCGTTGTTTTCCATTTTTTGAAAAGTTTTCTAGCAAAAGTTTTCGGAAAAAATTTTCCTTCGTCAAAATGATAATGATTTGTGATAATTTGCAATTTAGAATCTAAAAAACAAAAAAGTTGAAATATTTCTAATTTAAGACAAATTCATTGAATTGGCATTATAAATCCTAAAAGTTTTAGCAAGTTCATCGCGGAATTATTGTTTATGCGGCAGATCGGAGGGATCACCATTTATGATATGTTGTAATTATTGTAATGTATCTTATCATGGCGATTGCTTACAAGTTGGCTCTCAGCTCTTCGCTCTTTTTTTTTCTTTTTTTGCTTAAAGCTTAGAATTTCAGCAGAGATTTTATTATTATCTTTGTTGATTTTTCAGCTAACTCGAACACATGCAAAAACAATCGAAAAATATGTGTGTCCACCTTGCATAAGCAAAAATAGCAATTTGCATATCGTTTATCGCGTCGATGTTGCGGTTATTTTTTATTTAAGTTCAATTTTAAAATTTATCTTAAAATTTTTAATGATTAAAAAAAATCTAATCATTGCGCATGTGTTTTGCGTTATTTGCCATGAGGGCGAACTCGGTTATTCGCAGTTTCTTGTCGCATATTTTTAAATAAAAACACGGATTACTGATTACAAAATTGGACCATCTGTGTTCACTAATTTTTTTCATACATTTTTTCCATCCTTTCTTATACAAATGAAATTATCGATCTAAAATATAAATTTACCATTAATCATTAATTTACCATTAATCATTTCCATTCCATTAATTAATTTACCATTAATAATTTGAAACAGTTAACGACCGTCGAAAGCAAAAAAGAAGTATGAAAAAGGAAGTGGAAAAAAATTCTGATTTTTTTTTTAAATTCTTAATTCTGCTTCTCCATCAGGAAAGTTATTTTAGTTATCATCGTCCCTTATTATATTTTTCTTGTTTTTTGTAATCTTCTTAATTTTTTTTCCACTTCCTTTTTCATACTTTTTTTTTTGCTTTCGACGGGCGTTAATTGTTTCAAGTTATTAAAAATATTTTTAGATTAATGGTAAATTTATATTATATTTTAGTTCGATAATTTCATTTATATTTGGTAATAACAGCTTTTCTTTATGCCATTACTTTATTACTTTATTTTATTTATTTTATTATTACTTTATTTTACTTTATTACTTTATTTATGCCAAAGTTCATTTTTCAAGTTACAGAATTTATAGAACAATGTATTTACAGAACAATGAAAAAACATTTGGTGATAACCAGGAAAGCAAATTGATGAAAAAAATGAAGGTTGAGGATAGTAATAAACTATTAAATTCCGGCGATTCTAAAAATTCCTATAAAGATGAAACTAGTAAGTTATTTTTTGAAAAAAATTGCATTAAAAAATTTGTTTTACTGATGAATATATTTTGATTATCCAATATTTTCCATAAAATCTTTCTGTGAACTAAAAAAGAAATGAAAGTTAAGGGAAAGTTATTTAAGGTACTTACGATCCATCGGATCGTTGTGAAAATTGCATTAATTGTTTCCGCACATTGAATTGTGGTAAATGCGCAAATTGTATTTCTTCAAAACAACAGTGCTTGAAACGAATATGTGTGCAATCGGAATGGTGGACTAGAGTTAAAAAGAAATCTGCCAACTCATCTGTATCGAAAGGTTCATTCATTACTTTTAAACAAATTTTATTTACAAAGAGTATTTCGGATTTGCTATGATATTAAGATTAATTACTATAAGCAATCCAAAAATGTCCGTAGATAACGCAGTAATTATTTCGATAGAGGGAAAATATATTTTCTCTAGTATTTTCAGTCTTTACTTTTGTACTTTTTTATTAAAATTAAAGTTTTGTTTGATTATATTATTTTTATAAGGCAGCATCTTTCTATTTTCTTTTTCTAAATCTATTTTCAAGGAAACATGTTAGTTAACTCCACTGAATTAATCGGTTTAGTAAATGAATTTGCAGATTCTTTTAATTCGAATGAAACACCGCAGAATTCAATTCATTCGTGAGTACTCAATATTTATTTGATTATATGAATGCAAAATAAACCAGAGATTGTCAAATTTCCAAAACAAAATATAAAATGTTTTATTTTGGAAATTTTTTATGGATTTTATTTTTTTTTAATATAAATTTTTTATAAATTTTTATGGTGAGTCGATAGATAAGTTTTAATAAGTTTTTGTGGAATATTTTCGTATTTAATAATTTTGTTTTTGTTTTGCTTTTAGGCGTTCGGTCGAACAACAGTTGAAAAAGGCAGCATCTTTCTCAACATCTTCCGGAGAAAAAAATTCATTTAAAGAAAAGGGAAAACGTGGTCGTAAAAAAGGTTGGAGAAAGCAGGTAATAGTATCCTTTTTTTTCAAAAATGATGAATTTACTAATGTGGTTTCTGAAAAAATTTAGTTTTTTACAAATTTTTTCAGAAAATGGATGGAGGAGAATCGAAATCGAATGCTTTTAAATCTTTTGGCACGGAACGGACTATGACTTTAGGTTGGATTTCTATGCAAAACTGTTATTGCTTTTTTCTTTACGTTGACTGTCCTTATTAAGCTCATTTTTTGCCAAGAATGCTCAACACTGCTGGTTAGGCTTCACTGACTTGTCGGACCAGATAGATTGCAGCAGCGACAGACGATAGAAATACAGATGGCACTACTCGCATTTCCAAAGAGCATATTAGTATTATTAGTGCGTAAAACCTCAGCATCATAGAATGGCGCTTCGAAATACCCACTGAATCATTCCACACCCTTTTTGCTTTCGCCTTTCACTGGCAGGTATTTCCACTCGATGAAACACGGTCCGATTCATTCTTTATCCTCGGTAGTAATCATTGTGCCAAACTATCGACCCTAAAGCCCATTAAACATTCTATTTAAAAATAAAAATAAAAATATTACATTATATGTATTTGTTAAAGTTATTTTTAAATTCATTTTTAAATTCATTCATTTTTTTTAAATTCATTTGTTATTATACAATATAAATGAATTATTTGTAGAAGAACGTCGTCGAGCAGCTTCATCAGTGTACCATTATAATTTGGAACGATATCAACCAAAAATCATTAAAAAAGTATCTAATAAAGTGATGTATACTTTTATTATATTACACATTTTGGAAGAAATTCCCACTTAGATTAATCTATGCGAGATTCCCATTGCACTAAATTATGGATTTAATGAAACTTTTTTCTGTTCTTTAACGACTGTTTTAAAGCATTTTTTTTAAAGCAGATTAAAGAAGCTTATGCTGATTAAAATGCAAAAATAAAATTCGAAATCAATTAAATAAATTTATAAATTCTTAAACTTATTATTATTATTATACTATTAAACTATTCTTTCATTAATTTTACATTAAAAAACTTTGAGGAGGTGGACGATTCACGTCAGTGTTTAGGTCCTGATTGTGTTAATTCAGTGTCTCGGAATTCAAAATACTGTTCAAAAGAATGCGGATTAAAATTGGCTCGGGTTTGTTTTATTGCATACTTTATTACTGATTTGTTCGATCAGTTTTATTAATGGATTTTAAATTTGCGAGCGATTGATTGATTAAAATTGTATTAAGATTGTAGTATTTCCAATATAATTAAAATATAAAATGTTTGGATGACCATAAAATGATTTAATGATTTATTTTATTTTAGTTATTGATTTCTCGGTGGACCTATTTAATATTCTATGATTGTTTAAGGCACGACTGCAAAGATTTTTACCCAAACAAGTGCAGGATTATTGGTCAGAACTTCCAGCTGGTGCTGTGCGTTCTGCTAAATTACTAAATTCTCTTGATAAGCAGATTCAGCAATTAACAGTATGATATCAATATGTATTTGTTATATATATATATGTATATATAATTTTGTTTTCTGCAGTTTTAAGTGACTAAAAATTGATATTTTCAAGAGATTTTTTTTCAATATAAAATATAGCTTCTACATTTGATTTTCATTTTCTCAGTTTTATTATTTCATAAAATTCTCTTAAATCGATTTTAATTTATTTCAAAAATTTATTTCAGAATAGTGTTCGTTTGTTTGGAAATTACCAGAAAGAGTTTAAAAACTTGATACAGGTTATTTCGTGATTTATTTATTTAGACATTAAGCTTTGGAATTTCTAGTAGTCCGTTTTAGACTTTGGCGACATACGAACCAATTGAGGCAACCGAAACTATTAATACATCAGACACGGATTATGTAAGTGTTTCGAAATTTGAAAGTCTCTGATCAAAATTTAAATTTTTAAACTTAAATATAAATTTACAATACAAAATTTAAATAATTACTTAATTATCCATTTATTAAAACTTAATCAATTAATTATTTAATTAATTAAATTAATTAATTAAAAGTTTAATTGATTTTCACGTTCAATCACAGATGATTTATTGTGCAGTTTGTGCGATGGAATTTCCGTCCAAACAAATAGCAAAACACACAGAAAGGTGTTTTGTTCGCTCAGAGCGACAAATATGTTTTGGCACAAATTCTAAAGTTAGTTACTGCTTATTAAATTTATTTTAAAAGGTAGAAAGAAGTAAGATAATGTTTATTTTTAGTCTCAAGTCAATCCTTATAACATTTTTTGCGAAGAATACAATAAAGCAAATAATACATTCTGTAAAAGATTGCGGGTGTTATGTAGTGAACATTATAAACCTGAATTGGAAGCAGACTTAAAGGTATCGTCTTTTCTTTTTCCATAGTATTTTCATGAAATCGTGGTTTTTAGAAAAAATGATTTTTGAATTATCTACCAAGAAAAGTAGAATTTTTCTAAGAGATAAAAGAATGAAAAAATTGTGGAATCTTCATTATTTCATACAAAAATTAGAAATTTCGCTGTACGAAAGATTTTGAATTTTTTTGTTTTCCAGTAAGATTATTTGTATATAAGATAACTGGATAGTACTTTGGAAGATGGAATAGTTGCAATCATCCTTGTTGGCAGAAGTAAACCTGGTAAATCTGTCATTACAAGTATAAATATTCGGTCTCTGTTGGTACCAACCTTTTAATCATAGCTGAATTAGCGATAAATGGTTTTAGAAGAAATATTTTTTTAAAGTTTACATTCTTTTCTAGATATGTGGTTATCCTTTTGCTTGGGTAAAAAGTGCTTGTCGTCCAGTTGAAAAGATGTTTTGGTGTATGGATGAAATTTTTCGAGAAGGTTTTTGTTTACTTCCCCGAAAAAGCTGTTCCCAACATCATAATTGGATTCAAGTGAATAAATTATTTTTGTATATTCGCTCTTTTTTTTGTGATTTGTGAAATATAAAGCATTATTTAATTTTTTATTTATCATTCTTTTTTGTAATTTTAGAATACGTTTGGTCTTATTGATGTTGAATTGATGAACTACCTTATGGAACTCGATACATGTTATGACAAAAAACGACAACTTCAAGTTATAGAAAGCACACGAGGTGATGTACTCACGTTGCTATGTAATACGACCATAGTTCATGATGATTCTGCAAAAGATATGACCAATGCTACAACAATAAAAGAGGAAGCTTTTTCTACTGAAATTAAGGAGGCGTCAAAAGAAACCGAAACATCGGAAAATGGAGTAATGACCGAAATAAATGCTTCGAAAGCAGATGATGGAAAAGATAATGTATGCCTAAATCTTCAAATCCTTGCTTCTTCATCAATTTATCTTTACTTTTTTAAGAAATAAAATTTATGAAATCCACAACAAAATACCTCATTTTAGAGGAAAAAAAATTTCCGATATTTTCATTTAGAATATTTTTTAATTAACACATTTTCCATTGTTTTTTTCTATTCACCTTTTTTTTGCTTTTTTCATATATTTTTTTTGCAGCTAATAGTCGCATCTAAACAATTCTGAAAATGATACAACCGAAAGCCACCAGCAAAACGATCCTGCGTTTTATAATCAATGCATTGATTGATTCTGTGATGCATTTAGTGATTATTTCTGTTTTTTCAGCTTTATTCGTCATTCAGAGATATTGTTTATAGGAGAAGCAGAATAAGGACCGTTGAAAAGAATGGAATCCCTATATTATTTATTATTTTCATGCAATGGTATTTTTGAATTTTCTCAATCTACAAATCTTGATTCATTGGCGCTGTCAATATTATTATTATTTGATAATCTAATTTTTTTTTTCCATGATGTTGTCTTTTAATTTTCTGGTAAAAATAAACATATTTGTATATGATGGTGATGTTATTTTAAAATTTTTTGCTTCATTAGCATATAAATTACAATAATTCATTATAAATTAAAAATTTCTCTTGATTTTTTTTTTGTATTGGAGTATTTGTTATTATTTCTTTAATAATATTATTTTTATGGATTGGAAATCAGAGGTCAAAAAGAAATGGTTTTTGATTGTAAGGAAGTGGCGGAGTCGTGGTCCTTAGTATCTTTTATTTTACGTCATAGGGTGTTTTTTGATAAATTTTGAGAGTTTTTTGGTACGATTCAATAACTTGTATAGGGGTCAAAGGTAATTTTTTTTCTCGCAAGTCCATCTCGGAATTTTTTTCTACAATATTAATTTATTTCAGTGCTATCGTTAGGATGAATGAAGACAACGGAGTATTGTTACTGTTTGATGTCGATGGAACATTGACTAAGCCTCGGCAGGTAAGCATTCTTCATTTTTTGTTGTTTAAAGTTGCCTTAAGATAGGTAAACTAGGTGATCTTTTTTATTTTAATTAGCTTACTCCTTTTTCTGCTATCGCCCAGATATATAAATTTTTCGATTAAACTTTCTAATTATTTAATAATTAATCTACAAAAAATGAAAAAGAAATATTAAAGCAAATTCGTTTGAAGTTCAAATTTGGAGACAATAAATATATGAAGTCTAATAATTTTGTCAGGTTAATATATATGTAAAGGCATGCATGTGCATATATGTGAATGAATATATATGATACTACACTTATGTATAGGCGTATAGAAGCGCTCGTAAGGGATTTATATTCTTTTAGCTGATCATTTATCATGTCATATATTTTCTTATTTTTGTTTCATCAAACTTTTCCATCAAAAATGTATTTGCTATTCAGAAAATGGAAAAATACATACAGGAATTCCTCTCGCAAGCAAGGAAATTTGCATCGATAGCCGTTGTAAGTGGTTCAGATATTACAAAGGTTGTCGAACAACTAGGCGACAATATCGATGACGGTAATATCTCCTTTTTTTTGCAATGTATGAAGCAAATTTTGATCTAATTCTCCAAAAATTTAAAATTTAATAATTTAAAATTTATAAAAATTTATATTATAATTTAATAATTCTAACAGTTACCTTCACTGATTTGCGTAGAATTTTAAGTAATTTTTTTATCACCACTTGACTGGATAACGATTTAATCGTTTTAGTATTGAATCGATTCGATTTTGTGTTTGTTGAGAATGGTTTGGTTGGTTTTCACGGAAGTGATGCTCTTCCAGTACAGGTGCCTTTAACTGTTTCATTAGCGTTCTCGAACATCTTTCAATAAGCACTTTTTTTCCATTTTTCTATATCCGAGATATCTTTTCTTAATTTCTCTTAGCTTAATTTTGTTTTAGCTTTACTTTTTTATATTTTTTTGCAACTTTTTGTTTATATTGCATAATTTTTCCGATTAGCATTAAGCCGGCCTCATTATTGAAGGTTTTGAATGTATTATTGTAGTCATTGAAAGAACATGTTGGTGATGAGCGCCTCAAAAAATTAATCAATTATACTTTACGCTATTTTTCCGAAATCGATCTTCCTGTTAAACGTGGAAATTTCATTGAATTTCGTCAAGTATATTTTTTATTATTAAACTTTTTTGGTCTATGTAATGCATGATATTGCAATTAGCTATTAACTAAATGCTTATTTTAGCATGCAATTTTCACTTATATGGCCAAAAGAATTTTTTTATTATCTTATCTTCTATATCTGGTATTAACTGATTATTATATAATGAGGACAGAATCAGTCAGAATTATTCTATTGTTGGCGACTTCAGGGTATGCTAAATTTGTCGCCAATTGGGCGAAGCTGTACTCAAGAAGAGCGCATGCAGTTTGTGGAATTTGATTCTAAATACCGTGTGCGTGAGCAATTCGTTAAAGACTTAAAAGTTTTCACTGAGGGATGGAATTTGAATATTTGCATTGGTAAATATCAATTAATAAAATTTTCATGATGCACGTATATATGATATTGTATTTATTATTGTTTCTTTTTTTCATCTAACTTTCTCTAACTGAATTTTTCTAACTGAATTGTCCTTCCAAGAAAATTTCTTATAAATTTTCTTTAATATAAGAGATTGCAGGCGGTCAAATAAGTGTGGATGTTTTTCCATATGGATGGGACAAAACATTTTGTCTTCAGTATTTAAAAGATTTTGAAACAATACATTTTTTTGGTGATAAAACAGCTCCGGTTTGCAGTTCCTTACATTTTTTTTAAAACAATTTTGATATCCCGATATTATTTTTTTCCTATATTATGGTTTTTATCTTAAATTTTTTTAAAGCATTATCTTATTGTTATATTTATTTGCAGGGCGGTAATGACCATGAAATTTTTAATGATGAGAGAACAATTGGTCACACAGTGAAAAATCCGGAAGATTTGAAGAAACAAGTTGAAGAACTGTTAAAGTCGTTTACAGACGAGTGTTGAATACATGAAATATAATGCAATTAATTAAATCTGTCTGAAAACTTCATTATTGTTGTTTTTCTTTGTTATTCATTTTAAAGGTTCTGCTTAATAATTTGTTTTTATTTTATTTATTGTTGTTTTTATTTAGGAAAAAATGTTATCATTTTTCATTTGTTTTTATGGCGATAACATTCTGGTTAAAAGTTAAATTAATTATTTATTTACTATTAATAATAATTTGCTCTAAATTTTTATGCTATCACATTATAAAGATAACTACATTAAACTGGGGAAATTGAAACATTTCTCGGCCTAAAAATCCTTTTGAATTTGTGGCTACAAACTGTTGTAAGCAGTTATATTATTAGGAAATTTGTGAAAATATTATCCTTTGGTTAGATATTAATTAATATTATTGCGAGCTTTTCCATTATCTAAATTTAGACTATGTAAATAATATGAAAGTCCAGGTCAGTCGAGAATTGCATAAGCTATTCTTAAGAAATTCAAAAAAATAAATTCTTTGGTAATTATTTTGTTTATTCACTATGCGAAAAGCGAAGGTCAAGTGGGAGTTCTTGTGTTGCTGTATTGTTCGATGATTTCCCATATTTCACGACAAACTCAGGAATTATAAATCATAAATTGCCATAAGAATTCGAAGAATTAATCCCATTCACCGTTTTTTGATCTATAATCTTTATCATTATCAGAAGAGTTGATTCAAGAGCATCTTGATTGATATGAAAATGTGAAAATATAATCCTTTGATACTTTAAATAGCGAAGATTATAACGTTAATTGTACAATATGTGTCACTTATATCCCACAACATACAAAAATCAAGATGCTTATTTGCCTTGAACAAACTAAAGATTACGTTATTATACTATTGTAGATTTATTCTGTAACACTCTACACTGATTTCAATGAGATTGACCATTTTAACTTATCTTATCTAATGGCCGATCCTACTAATTACTGATTACATTGATAAAAGATAATTCCGAAATATCATATCAACAGCATAGTTGTTATTATCTTACTTTAGTCTTATAATATATCTTAAATGTCGTTAGAAAACCACGGCTTTACAACGAATAAACTTGAATGTGACAAATCATGGAAATCGCGGAAATTTCATTTCATATGACTTCAACGATAGAACGATAGTTTTAAAAAGATAAGCGTTTATTTTGTTACTTTGTGTTTCCCTTTGTGCTTTGCACATCTCACTTTACCATAATTTAATCCAGTAATTGAGTAAAAAAGTGAATTAAATTGAATTCTTTTTCTCGGATAAAAATTCTAAGACAAACTGGATTATATCGATTATATCGTAATTTTTATTGATAAGAAAGACGACTCGAAGACCATTTTTCTTATTTAATAACTAAAATGTTCTTCGATTTGCTGACTGCAAACGCAAATTTAGCGATGGAATTTCATTTTCAAAAATTTCATTTATTTTTTTAAATCTACAAATTATTCATCCATCATTATTCTAACTGTATAAGAGAAAATCATTTCGACGATTTAAATCGAAATTTGTTTAAAAAAAAAAAAGCTATTTGAAGCTTTTTTTTAGCGTTCACTTTATCATTTTTATCACTTTTATCACCAAACGATTTCAAGGCAATTCGCCTAATCGAATAAGTTAACGAAACGAGTTCAACAGAAATAAGAACGATGAGCACTTTTAGAAGAAGAAAAGATTTAATTGGTGAATATTTTCATAGGTAAAATTAGTCGTTATTGCAACTTCATGAATTATTTTTTAACAATATATATATATATATATATATATTTATATGTATAGTTATATAGATATATATATCCTGATATGATAATTATATGATAAGATTAAGCAATTAATAAAAAAATAATGGATCAGAGAATGCAATTTCTCTTCAAATGACAAATGACAAAACCTGTGATGAAATGTGAAATGCGAGTGGTACTTTACATATGGCTCAAATGTACTTTTGCTTCCAAAAAATAGCTCACTGATAAGAGCTTTTAATCTCGTAAAATCAATCAAGCAAATCATATAGGAAATATTAAGTGTCAGATGAAGGAAAATCAAAAAATGAGTTTTGATCATGAATTTTTTTTTCCTGAGTTATTAGAAGCCTAAAATAATTCTCTGAAAGGAGACTATGGGAATAGAAATTAAATCATTATCAGTTAATCATTTAGTTCGAGAAAATAAGTTAACAGTTGTTCAGTTGTTGTAAATTGCTTTTGCTGAAATTTGTTTTATATAATAAAATCCATTTTTGCTTTTCAATTTTTCAATCAACATTTTAAGAATTTTGTGATAAATAGTAATGGTTTTTTTTTTCTCTTTTTTTTCTGATTAGAAATTTTGTATAAAAAAAATGATTCGACTTGTTTCTAAGGTTTCTAAAATTATTGACAATCGTAAACAGTTATGGGTTTTCTTCGCGTTAAAGGGCGTTATAAGTGAAATGTGAAATGATTATTGCTAGGAATCCAGCTGTTATTCAATCCTCCGGAAGCCTTCTCTGGCCACTTCATAGCAATCATTGGATTTAGCCAAACTAGAAATTGTGGGAGCTGTTAAACGACGGTGAATTAATAGAACACTCGTTGAGCAATCAATCATTTTTCTAATAAATGATTTTAAATTGATTTTATCGATGTTCGCTTATTATTTCTTTATGATTAAATTAAGCGAAAATTTTTTCACAACTCCTCATTAATAGAAAATTAACGAGGGTGTATAAGCTAAATGAAGGAATTCATGAAGGGACTTTTGCTGCTACTGACGGTGATTTATCTGGTACCGAGAAATATTTGGGCTGAAGTTGATTGGGCTAAACGAGTTGACTGTTATCCAAAGCCTGGTGCGAGCGAGGAATTATGCAAAACACTCGGATGTATATGGGATCGTGACAGCACGAATGTTAGTTGCACTCTTAAATCTACGAATATTTGCGATTAAAGAGTAATTTGTAAAGAGTAAGAGTAAGAGAATTTTAATTTTTGAATTAATACCAAATTTTCCACAAAAACTCTTTGGTTATTTTCCTAGAAACGGAAATATAAACAAAAATTTATGCCTTTCAGTTCAGTTATAAGATTAATTTTATTAGTGACAATTTTTTCGATATTAAATCAGAGTTTGTGGAATGAATAAAATTTCTTTTAAAGAAATTTATAAAAAACTAATAAATTAATGTTTATTCATATTAATGAAGGAAAAAGATGAGAGAAGATAGAGGAAGTATAGCTTTTCTACTATATTCCAGGTCCGTCTGAATATACCATTATGTTATTTGCCTCGAGAAACGGGATATTTGATAAGCAACGATTCGTTTTTATCAAAGGATCCGAAGAGTATAAAAAATCCTTTTGGTGCCGACCTTTCTCCTCTTCAATTATCAGCCGTGCAAATCGGTTCCGTATTAAACGTGAAAATCGGTTACAATGACAGGTATATTTTATAAACATAATAAACAAAGAATTTTGCCAGAACTACTATTTTTAAAGAAATTAATTTCTTTTCAGGTTTGACGTTCCAATTTCGTTACCGAGAGAACCATTAACATCAACCGATTCATTTACGTTTCAAAAAACAAAGACGGGTCTCTTCAATTTTAAAATAAAAAGAGATTCATCTGGAGAGTTTATATGGGATACATCAATAGGTACTACTTCGCTTAGCCAATCTATGAAGCCTGAAATTCAATCCAATATTTAATTCAAACTTTAACCTGCAGGTGGCTTACTTTTCGCCGATAAATTCATTCAAATTGCCACTTATTTACCAACATATAACATTTATGGTTTCGGGGAACATGCTCATACGACGCTGAGAGTAAGAAGTATTCCATTTAACTCCAACTGATAATGATAAAACTTCATTGAGCAAATATATCAATGATAAACACACTAATATTTATTAGATGCAGAAAAACAATTAATGGACAATAAAAAGAAATTTTCTGCTGAAAAAATTTTTTCTTTAAAATTTCTCTTCCAAATTAAAATTTTGTATCTTTGTTTTTAGCATAACTTCAGTGAATACACAACGTGGGGAATGTTTGCCAGAGATGAGTTTCCAGATCCAGTGGATATGCCGAAGAAAAACCTTTATGGTGTTCATCCATTCTATCTGGGATTAGAAAAAAGTGGAAAAGCTCACGGAGTTCTTATACTGAACAGTCATCCGCAGGTAAATACTCGCAGCCTTTTTTCCCAGAAGCTTCAGCATTTCTTTACAAATTTGTATTGAAAGATTTATCGAGTGTTTAAAGTAGAAAGCTTGAGATAAATTAAAATACATTTTTAAAAACATTATTATCGTGTTGCCTTCACAATTTCTGAAATAGCTGCGCTTGCGATTTTGCAGAGTGAATTTACTTTAATAAATCAACGAACCACACCAATTTGTTTTTAGGAAATTACATTCGGCCCTTCGCCTCACCTTGTTTATCGCACCACTGGTGGTTACCTGGATCTCTACTTCTTTCCAGGTCCCGAACCAGAGAGTGTTATCAAGCAGTATGTTACATTTATAGGAAAACCTTTCCTTCCAGCCTATTTCGCCTTCGGTTTCCAGGTAAAATTTCCGTCACAGGTGAAATAGTTCCTGGTAATCACTACAAAAAAAATTTAACTGAATATTTATCAAATATACCAAATATTTACATTTAAACAAAAAGAAATCTCGTCTTTTTTATGGATAAAAAAGAAAATACAACGAAAATAGTAATTTCATGTCTTTTCTAAATATTTTGCTGAATTTCTTCGAAATATATATCAATAAAATGCAAATTAAAGTTATGTCGATACGGTTATCAAAATTTGAATGAAATGAAGGAAACGGTTGCGCGAGTTCGATCATACCAAATTCCATTCGATGTCACTTATGCCGATATCGATCACATGGATCGCTATAAGGATTTTACTCTAGGAAAGGTGCTTATAGAAACTAATCTATTTTGTAATTTCACTTCGACTATTCCAAATAAGATGGATCAATGACTCCAAACAATTTTTGAAAAGCGCATTCTATTTCTAGCTGGTCCTTTAGTTTACCAGTCCAAGCAAATTTTGCCAAGGAGACCATTTGGCCATAGAATTGCGATACCACTAGATTGGCAATGCCACTTGGATTTTTGATAGATTTATTTACTTCTACTGAAAGAGAATGCTAATATATTGTGCAGCAACGCTCCGAAATAAGAGCAAGTCTTCTAACAACATCTTTGCACAGAAAATATTAGCTAAAAAAATATTTCAAAATTTATTTTAAACAATACGTTTTACATTCGGGAATTCGAGAATGAACTAAATAGCAAATTATGAATTTTAATTATAAAAAAGGAAATAATAAGGAAAGAAATGATAATAATAATGATATAATAATGAATGATAATAATAATGATAATAATAATAATTTCCATTAATAATTTTATATATCGATGCAACTGCGATATCTCTATGAATGTGATATTTTCTGATAAAAAATAGAGAAAATATTTGCGATGATTTGCAGGATTGGATTGATTTCCCCAGTTATACCAATGAATTGAAACGGCAAAATATGCACGTTGTTTTAATTTTCGATTGTGCCATACAAGTCGATTATGAAACTTTTCAAAGAGCCATTGAAATGGTACCTAAAATTTATAAACAAAATAGTTGGCGGTCAGAAATTTCTCTATGAATGATTCGTTGATAAATATTGATTTTTTATCTAATAATGTTTATTATATTAAAGAATAGTTTTACAAGATTTTCAAAAGTTTGTTAAACTAAAACTATCGATAATAGTCAATACCTTTCAGAATGCGAGTTTTGTGGAATGGGAACGATATGATCAAGTACCACATGAAATTCAGGATCTCTATCCATTAGCAAAGGATACAAAGGTTTTTCTCCGACATTTATTGTTAGAATATATTGTTAATATTTTTTGAATACTTATATAAACGAAAGTGAGCGAAAATAAAAAATAGCTAAAAAATATTTTAGATAATGTTAAGTGTTGTTTGGCCTGATAAGCATACTGCATTTCCTGATTTCTATGATGCAAGTGGAAAAACAGCAGAATGGTGGATCAAAGAATTTAAAATTTTCCACGATTTGGTATATTTTGAAATTTCTGAATATTTATCGTAAATCAAATAATCGCATTCATGGCTATCAAATTTTGGAAATTCAATCTTAAATCTGCATTTGCAGATTGCTTTCGATGGAATTTGGATTGATATGAATGAGCCTGCGGCTTTCGGTACGAATGAGAAACACCCATGGTACTTTGATAATGATGATCACCCAAATATAAAACCATTACATTGCTCATTAGAAGGGAAGGATTCAGAACTTGATAAACCACCTTATGAAACTGCAAATGTGTACTATTATGGAAATAATGCAGTTAGTTTAATATTATTAATAAAATAAAATATATTCATTTTTGTTCAAAAATTTTCTACAATGTTTGTTGAATTCTCTATTTTTTTCGTGAATTTAAGTCTCATTCTTTTCTTCTGGCTGCTGGTTAGGCTGGCTCCGTTCGGTAAGGCTTTGCCAAGCAGCTCTATTTGATGCCATCGTTGACAGTAACAGAAGCCATTCCCTTTTCCATCGTCTAAGTCCATATGTCGCTGGTTTCAAAATCCTGACTATATCAGGTCAAGTCTCGATTGGTCCAGCTCGCTTTTGAAGATTTTACGAGTTATATGTCAACTTTTAAGTGCCATCGTTGTAAAAATCGCAAAGAATTTTACCAAATTTTATTATATCATATTATACATAATTTTATTTTATTATAAATCCTTTTGCAGCACCTATCAACGAAAACACTTTGCATGTCAGGTGTAACAAATAGAGGAAAATATTCAGTCCACTCCACCAAAAGTTTGTATGGACTAACGGAATTGATAGCTACTGAAAAGGCTATGCGTGAATCAACTAGAAAACGAGGATTTACTCTATCAAGGTTTGAGATTTCATCGGTATTGTTTGTATTATAGATTCCGTTAGCATATGCAATAGTAATAATGGTTTGATTGTTTTTGATTGAGTCTAAGACTTCTTAAATGGATCTGAAAAGAAGTCTGCATTTTTGTTGGCAAAACTGCGATTTTTTGTTTATATTCAGATCTACTTTTGTTTCTTCTGGACATTATGGTGGTCATTGGCTTGGGGATAATACTGCTCGTTGGGAAGATTTACAATCATCTGTGATTGGAATTCAAGAATTTAATATGTTTGGAATTCCGTTTATTGGCGCAGATATTTGCGGATTCAATGGGAATACAACTATGGAATTATGCCATCGTTGGCAACAGCTTGGTGCTTTCTACCCATTTTCCAGGTAAAAATCAATGGTTAAACTAAACTGAGCTGGTTTCCATAGTTGTAAGTCAAATTTGCAAACGGTGGAGAAATGGTGGAGAATATACAGAATTTTAAAATTTATTGATAAATATTCATATCATTTAATATTTGCAGTAGTTTAATAATTTTTTCTTTTTCTTAGATTTGCTTTTTTCTTAGATCATGGGATCATTTTTTTTGTCTGTAAAGATTTCAACGATTTTGGGAGAATAATCGGATAATTCTGAAATTATCCCTTAATTCATGAATCCTTTACCTTCAGGAATCACAATTCTGATGGCCAGACACTTCAGGATCCAGGACAATGGCCTTCAGTTGCCGCAGCTACTCGTCAAGCTAATCTTTTCCGATATTATTATTTGCCATATCTCTACAGGTTCTTCTGATATTTCTTATGTGGAAAAATTTTAATCATATATTTTTTACTATCATCCGGTTTGTCAAAAGTATTTAAAATATTTAGTTATTTTCATTTATATACTATCTTCGTATTTCATTATTTTTTTATGATTAGAATAATAAAATTAGCAATTACAATAGATATGAAAATAATTTTCTTTTTTTCTAATTCCAATATCTGTTGCAATTTTAATTTAAGTTTGCACTTCGAAGCCAGCTTGCATGGCGGAACTGTCGTAAGACCGGTATTCTTCGAGTTTCCGAATGATACTGAAACTTATGATTTGGGTTATCAGTTCATGTGGGGAGCTGCAATGATGATTATTCCTGTTGTACATCAAGTAAATATATTTAAAAAGAAGTTCTATAATATTGAAGTTTACTTCGGCAAAAAAAGAGTTCCACTCTAAAATATACTTAACAAGGCAATATGATAATTTAAATTTGTGGAAAACAATAGTTTATATAGGGAAATAGATTTTTTTATCCTTTATTTCTGTCTATTTTGGTGATTGTTCCATATTTTTGGTTGTGCAATGGAAGAACTAAATATCTTCAGAGCGTTTCATCTGTAAAAGGATATATACCAAAGGCGACATGGTATTCACTCAGAGATAATGATTATGCGACTCCTATCAAAGTGGGGAACACTGAGTTCAGTGCTACGAAAGAAGAATTAATACCAGTTCTTGTTCGTGGTAAAATCTTTGCCTTATTTTAAATTATAATTGAATTCTTTAAATTCTTAATTGAATAAATTATAAAGGAGTAAATTATAAATTATAATTATAAAAATTATATAATTATATATATATATATAATAATTATAAAATTATTATTATATATAATAATTATATATATATATATATATATATATATATAATTGTAAAAATTTGATTCATTAAATTAATTTATAATTAAATTAAATTATAAAAATTATAAATTATAAATGTCGGAAAATATCGTTATATTATTCAATATAGAGAAAGTTTATAGGTGGTTTCATAATTCCACGCCAAGCACCAAAGCTTACAACAATCGAATCTCGTACCAGCCCATTTGAACTTCTAATCGCTTTAGGTAAATTTTTTAATATTTTTTTATCGTCTTCTAATAGCTCGCACCATTGCTGGTTTAGCTTTTTGGGCTAAAACGTTTCCATATCTCCCAAATAATCTAACTAAAGAACTAAATGAATTTACTTTTTATTTTTGCATTAATAAAATTAGTTTATCATTTTATTGGTTTTAAAATAATTTAGGTTTTCACAAATTTTTTTTTCCAGTGATAAAAAATGCTGATTATCATTTCAGATTATGACGAAGCTGGCACTCCTTTAAAAGCTAATGGTCAATTATACTGGGATGATGGTGAAAGCATTATTGATAATTTTAATACCTATCCTTATTATCATTGGTCCTTTGATTTTACACTAACAGATACGGCTGCAACGCTTTATATAACTACAATAAATCAAGCGGTAATTTTCTGTTTATCATAGAGTGGGTGAAATATTTTGCTTTAACAATTTAACAATATTAACTATTTTGCTTTAAATCTTGAGTCTTGAAACTGAGTCTTGGAAAAATCATTAACATTAGCTTTGTTGAAATATTGGTACTGAAAGCGAATAAACACATTTAGGAAAAAAATGGAAAGAAAGATTGTTCGCATAATTTTATAGAGTGGGAAGAGAATTTATGCTATAGTTTACAATCGGAAATATCAAAGGTCAAACTCGATTTGTTCAACTTAACCTTTAAACCATTTATGCAGTTATCTTCGAAAAGACTCATTTCATCTTTCTATAACAAGAATCTTTAGAATATATAGGCGAGCGAGCCATCGTCGATTTTCAAAGAAAACCTCAGAATTACAAGTCGTTCTTCCGTTTGTGATAAAAATTGACTGATTAATCCATTTTCTTTTACTACGAAACTCCTTGAGTTTTTTAGGATTTGAATTCTATACCAACTCTCGATATATTGGACATTGTCGGATACAAATATCTGCCAGATTTGGCGAAAACCGAAATCAACGGAGAATCAATTAAAGTCGACACAACGAAATCTGTTTATTTATCAAACAATAATCGACTATTCATTTCGACGTCAAATTTGATTGATCTAAAAGATTCGAAAAAAATTATCATGAAATGGCCACATCAGAAATTATAATTCATTTCATTTCGTTATAAAGTTATTTGTTTTAGAATTTTTGAAAAATATTATTTTATATTTTCAAACCTTTCACCTCTTTATTTTATGCGCAATAAAATTTCGAATAGAGAGTTCAATTTTTCTGTTGTGAAAAAGTAAAAAAACATGTTTCTCAAAGTACAAAAGAAAAGTAGATGAATTGTGAAATATTACAAAATTATTATAAAATTATATTCTTAATATTCTGAATATAATTACAATATTAGCTGAGTGGCCGCCAATGCTGAGATTATAGCCTTCGAGCACCAAGTTTTAGAATTTTCAACAGAATAGTATTTTCAACAGAAATCTGTGGGAATTAATGATGCAATGATCGATTATTTTACATCGAAGAAGATTTTATTAAAAAATTTTTTGCAAACTTAAATTGCCCTTTTATTGCGAATAATAAACAAGAAAATACAAATTAGAATATTTCTCCACATACTTATTTGTTTTGCGGTTCGTTGAAACGGCTCAACAGGAATAAACGATTTTCAGAAGCATTGCAAAATAATTCAAAAAAGGCATTGAGGCAAATCACTTTATTGAATAATTTTGTTTTGTAATAATCGACTTCTTCCATAACTATAAAATAAAAAATATAAAAAAAATTAAAAAATTAAAATTATACAAAAATTCATGCACTAAATGCCAGGAATTATTACGTTTTGTCATTTTCGGAGACGAAGATTCAGTTTTTCTTTTTGTTAATTGAATAAGGTACATAAAATTGGTCGAAAAAAACATCTGCTGGTTCATCTATTAGAATTGTTTTCATAAAACGTATAATCGTCATGAAATTTATAAAAAAAAATAAGATTCGAAAAAAAGCGAAGCGAATGCCATAGGATTATAAAATAAAAAATTGAAATAAAAGGTAATATTCAGATTAATTAATTAATAACCAACCGAAATTGAAATGAAATTTCAAATGAAGCATTTGCATTTCACTTTAGGACAAATGCAATGCTGGATGAGCAGATTTGGCGATTTTAAGCAAATTTCAATAAAATTTATCAATAAATAAACAGAAATGAAAAATATTTATGCAAATTGTGAACCAGAAAGACGCTGGAAAAAAATTAACTATTAGTAATAAATTGATAAATGATAAATTTTCAAATTTTTTGAAGTTTTTCGTCGTACATATGGAAATTCTTGAGCCATCCAACGTATTTTAAAATTTGCTTCCGCATTTTTGCATTTTCATATTTTTCATATTCCACTGGACCCTGCCCAGCTTTCTGTATGCTTTCCTTATACATGCCTTCATCCTTCTTTAAATATTATTAGAATATTAGAATATTTGAATTTGAATATTCTTTTTGCGATTTGCCAATTCGCATAAATCATTAATCTTCGATCAATTATCACTTATCCAAATTAGTGAAAACTGCCTTATCAACTTCTTCTTTTTGACAAAGATAATGCAAGCTCGTTCAAATAAATTTTCCATTTTTACCCTATAATAATCTTTTCACTATCACGGAATAAACCAAAAGTAATACCTCAGTCACTATTACTTCATCGTCTCAGTCACCTATTTCCTATCTTCTTCCATTCCTCTTTATTAAATTTCACTAAAAGCACAAAATGAGTGTTCATTGCTATTTGCTATTCAATTTATATTGAACGCAAAACGATTAGCGAAATGTTCTACGAAATTTTTACTAATCTTGAAAAAAAGAAATTGTTGTTTGAAGAATTTCATCATGAAACTTTCCATTATATTTTTGTTTTTTTATTTTATATTATTTATATCATATTATTTTTTTAAAATTGTACAGAAAAAAGGATTTTATAGCACTACAAATTTTCACTGGGAGCACGGCGATTCCCCTTCCAATACCTTTATAAAATTTCCTTTTGGGAACCCGCTCCACTACCTTTTTTTGTATAGATTTAGCTTTCCTGCCACGCGGGACTTTTACTTCTCATTAATATTATAAAACTTTGCGGCCAACGATCTACTTTTTACTTTTTTCATTGCGATCCTCAAACTTGTGTGATTAAACCTTTATTATTAGCTAATATATACAGGAAAATAAAGCGAAGTAATTGCCCTCCTACAAAGAAATACAAAAAAATACCAAGAAATAATACCAAAGTCAAAAAATCAAATATAAAATCTAAATGCCCATCATTAACCGACCGTTCCCTCACTCTTTTTCCCCTAATAAAAGCACAAAATTGATCTTTTGGGAGCTTATATTTAATTTAAAATGGGCGGGAAAATCTCAAGGAGATGAAGAAATGTGCTATTTGTTAGAAGGCATATCAAGGTTCGGCGACAAAACTATAATATTTTACAAATAATATATATTATATATTTTTATATATGACAAATATTTTTCAAGGTAATTTAAAATTTTTTAAATTTAATTTAATTTAATGAAATAAATTTTTATATGCAATATACAATAAATTTAAGTATAAATATAAATAAAAAATAATAAAAGAAAATTTATAGTGGAAAAAATTATAAAATTTAAACAAAAAGAAAAACAGTATTTCATTACTGTTACAATTACAATTTCATTACAATTTAAATAAAATTTTTTAATCAAAAACAAAAATAAAACTTAAAACTTATTTAAAAATTTTGAAATTTCTAATTTTATTCTGACTTTCTAATTCTCTCCTCATTTTGTGCTATTTACTTAGGTAGGGCTGTAATACCACTCTATAAAATTTATTTGCTTTTTAATTTCTGCTACGACTTCTTTTGCACCTCTCTTTCATCGTTAATTTTCTCATTTATTGTAACTTCCTCAAGCACCCTCGATTTATATGTTTATAAACTTATCCCAGCCATATTGACACTCTCATATCATCCCATATTCTTTGTCACCTACCATACTTCTTCTTGCATCCTCGTTCACATTTCTGTAATTTTCGCGGTGCAACCAAAAATCCCTGGATGGTGTATGATCATAATAAAGTTCCTCAGCTATAACTGGCTTTTTTTTGCACATCTGTTTGGTTTGGTACGAGTCCACCGGGATTAGGCCAGTCTATTCCTTTGAGGAGGAAACGTAGTTGGGATTCCAGCAAAATTTGCGTTTTTACGGCATTTTTCATAGGAAAGTTTAAAAAAATGTGAAGAAATATTTTAGAGATTTTGTATGTTAGCAGAATTTCTAAGGAAACTCATCTCAGATGAAGGTTGTGATGGTATGTAATGGATTAAGTTGCAATATTATTTTGTTGCAATATTCTGTTTTTAAGGTAACTTCAATAATTACCAAAATATCCATAATGTTTGCCAGAAAGGAATTTTTGCTTAGCCTTACCTTAAGAAAAAATTTCATAATTCTCCTTTTCTATGTATAGAAATTTAGAAAAATTTAGGCGTGCTCATTGATTTCTTATATTGAATAGTATAGTCAATCGCAAATAAAATTTTAAAGATTATTAAAGATAAAAAATCTTTAATAAAGTGTAAGTGTAAAATAAATATAATTTGGCGATTGTCAGCACAGCACTAGAATTTTTTGATTTTTTAATGAAAGTTCCATTGCTATCAGAATCACGGAATTTGTGCATCGCGAAATGCTATCAATTTATTATCAGTCCAAATGATTTAATATTTGAGCAAACTAAAAATTAAAACTAAAGTAATTAAAAATTTAAATATTATCGAGTTAATTTGAAAAAAAATTTTAGAAAAAACCATTAAAAGTTGTTTTTAATCATTTTTTTATAAGGAAGCCTGATAAAGTAAATTAATTTTTAATTATTTATTTGATTTTATATTTTATAATTGTGATTTTACAGGCTACCCACTTATCGATTATATTTCAGTATATTTCACCAGAATTTTTTTCAGGAAGATGGGTTTGGCCTTTCACTGGAAAATCTTTGGCTATTTAACTTTTAATTTCAAGGTAATCATAAGTAAACCAATCGAAAAGTTGAAACTTGCCACTCAAAACTGTAAAATTTTAATAATACGTTGTATGTATTGCACATTTATTTTAGCAGTAATGAGCCTTGTTATTTTGAAAAGAAAAAGGAAAATTTAAGGTTTTGATTTTGACTTATTTCTCGCAGAATGATCCATGAGAAATTTCTTGCAATTGCACTAGCAAATATTTCATTTTTTACAATTTTTTTCAAAGTATATCAACGAAATTTGAAGTCACACCGATATATTGTAAAGATTTCAGTGATGAAAGAGATACAGCTGTGTTAAATCTTTCAAAAATCCTCATGTCCATTATACTTCTATCATCAAAACCAGCGGAACTAGCCTAGTAAGAAATGATGAGAGCTAACCATTTACTTGAATATATTTAGGAGAAAAATAAAAAAGCAAGGTTATACTGTTATTTCGCACGGTTTTATTGGGTAGGAAGTGGACTTATGCCATTGTTTGCACAGCAGTTTCGAAGGCCAAATTTGATGAAAAAAAAAGAAAAGAATGAATTTGTTTTATAAAAACTGCCCTTAAAAATTTTTTGTTTCATTTTTCTGAAATTCTCTTCGAAAGTACTCATTTGATATTCTTTAAATAAAAATTTTAAGAATCTACTCGTGAGCCTGTTTCGATTTCCAAAAGAAAATCGAATTAGTCAAATCGTTCTCATCCATTTATAATGCAAATTGACTAGGTCCATGTTGTCCTTTTTTATTTTCACAGACTGAAACTGAACCTGTTTGATTCTTTTTTTATGGTTAAGGTTCCATGCTAATAGGATAGAAATATTTGCCAGACGTAGCAATTGGCAGACGGTCGGTAAAAAGCGACTCCACTCAAAATCGTCGACCAGCTTCGCCTCTTGATCTCGACAATTAAGAGATTCCGTTCTTCGTTTTAAAATTTTTTAAAAATATTATTTTTCTTAAAATTATATTTTCGCCGTTTCGATTCGATTCTTCATTTTATGACTAATAAAATTTCGAATATCCAATGGATCCAATGATTTTTTATTAACATAAAAAAAACATACCAGTTTTGAGAAAATAAATGTATTTTTTACAATAAGAGGATTTAAAAAATGAAATTAAAAAACTAAAAAATTCATTAAAAAATCCGAATAGTGTTGGAGACTTTTGCAAAAATTTCTCCTCTAACTAGTAGTCCGTGGAAAAAGTTTATATAAAAAATGATGAGCGTCTAACCTCTAAATTCTAAATAATTCATTTAACTGCAATATGTTTTTGAATTACTTGAAAATGTTTGAATTTTATTTTATATATTTGGTACCTTCATTTTTTAATAATGCAATAAAGTAGGATTTCCAGTTCACCGTGGAACTCGATGAAAATCTAAAACACCAACAATTTTGGTATATTTAATAAAAATAGAAAAGAAAAGCTATATTTCTGTTAAATGATCCATGATAAAACATCCATTGAAAAATTCTTTTAATACATATAAATGATTCGCATCAGTAAGCACTGGTGATTTATAAGTTTTCGATCGTAGACAATGCAGTATTGTAGCAATGCGAAGCAAACATGAAGAACATCTTTACTGAATTCGGCCACTTGACTATTTTACTTTCTGAACTGTGGAATTTTAAGTAAAAATCCATATGCATCCACAATTTTGCATTTGCTAATTCTAATGGCTATTAAAATATGGTTTTTTAATTTTCCCTTAAATAATATTTATTTTTTTATATTTGCAAATATTTGTTCTCTTAATCATTCAGTGGCAAATTTTCAACTATCCAACATCAATTATAGTAAATTATTAATTTTGAGAAAGTTTTCGAATTACGGATTAGCCTAGACAGCGAATGAATGGCACTGCATAAGCGTCCCATCCATTCCATTTTTTCATACAATTCAATAAGATTTACTATTATAATAAATTTAATCCGACCAGTTTTAAGCAATCATTTATGAAGAATGAAGAAAAAATTCGGAGCACCGAAGTGCCGCAGAATTAAACCTATCGCAATTCATAAAAATAATATTAATAACTGATTTTTAGAAAACAAATATGAAAATTTTTTCTAAAAATCCAATATAATCTGAAAAAGGTGTATTCGGCCGCAATTTTTATTAAAAAGTGGATTTAAATACGAAAATAATTATTTACCCAAATAAAGAAGATAAGAACGATGATTGTAAATACAAATAGTAAAAAAGTAGAATACGAAAATAATTACCTAAATAAAGAAGATAAGAAGGATGATTGTAAATATAAACAGTAAAAAAATAGAAAAATATATGATAATGAAATTTAAAATGAAAAATGAAAATTAAAAAAATAAATGTGAGTTTTCCCATGTTTCATAAAATTATCACTATTTTTCTGTTAATTATGGTACTGAGTGATTTTTTATATTTCCACTTTGTTTTATTTTTGGATTGTTTTTTAGTTTAGTGTTCTCAGTAATACGCCATCATTTTATAGTTTTAAACTAAATCTTTTAATGGAAAGAAAATTGTTTATTTCGGAAAACCATAAAAAAAGGTTGAAATTACCACTGAGCAATGAAATAATTTCCACAATAATAAATAAATACATAAAATTACCTAAAATAATTGCCTAAATTACCTAAAATTTTATAATCTCATTTGGAGCTCAGAGTATGGAGTAGAATAGCTCAGTGGGTTTTGCTCACTTCAGAGCGTTGCTGAGGTAGAGTAAACCTGTCCAAAAATCCATGTGATGCTGATGATTACTTCACTTCTATCGCCAAGAGACCCTTTGGCACATTTATCTAGTGCGACAAGCCAGCTGAGCGAGCCTAAGTAGTAATGACAAGGGCTTTAAAAAAAAAAAAATCTAATAGTTTCATTTAAATATGAAATTTTTCAAGTTATTCCCAAAAAATTATTTAAAATTTTTTACTTCCATAGAAGAAATTTCTATGAGACTTTTTAAAATTTATCATTTATCGATGAATTTCTCTTATTTGCCTTTATTTCCTCAACATTTTTCGTAACATTTTTCAACCTCTTCACGACACAAAGAAATCAAAAATATTAAGAAAGAGAAAGAAGGAGGCTGATTCCTCTGCATATATAAATACTCTACAAAATTTCAATTTCTGGCATTAGTTAAGGTGTAGATTTGCCGTAGAAATTGGTTGGCATAGATCGTTATTCTACTTAAATGGTTTTTAGTTGTGGTATAAATTTCAATATAAATTTAATATTAATTGATATATTTGTGTTAATTTTGTATAATTTCAAAAAAGCTTTCGTTGCTTATAATAATATACTAAAGAAAAAATGATTTGCCATTTTAAAGCCACTGCCATTTTAATTAAATTTATGCCGAAAAACCTTTGAATATTATAAAAATTAAAATGAAATGGTATATGAGCGGCCAGTTTTTTTTTGCTTTCTCATTTAATATTCCATATTAATATTTAATATTTAAATTTTTCTTTTATTTTTTTTTTATAGATTTACCATAACAATTATTTTGTGTGCTTAAAAATATCTATTTTTAATAAAAATATTTCGCGAAATCTGTTTCAATTTAAAATGAATTTTATGACGACAAAATCTGAAAAGCTAGCGGCTATTGTGGCAGTGATTTTGTGTTCTGTTTCAATTCTAACTACTTTATTGGTTATTCCGTCCCTCTATGATGAAGTAAATCGTTTCAGCACTGAGATCATTGACGAAGTTAATTTATTTAAGGTAAATTTCTTTTTTTAAGTTAAGAAATTTTAGAGAAAATTACATAATCTACTAATGAAATAAAAACACTATTTTTTTAAAAATATTGTTCATTTTTGATCATTCTTGAACAATTATCTTTATCATAAATTATATAATCATACCCTTAGCTTATCAAATCTCACTTCTACTTCTTCTAACAACTCGCACCATTACTGGTTAGGCGGGATCCACTGGCTATAAGGGCAAGACGTCTCCAAGATGCTCGATCTAACGCTATCGTTAGTAGTAGTAGAAGCTATTCCTTTTTCCATTATCTAAGTCCATATATCGCTGGTCCTCCTATACGTTCAAAATTTTTTCTGGCCGTATCAGTTCAGGTCTTGATTGGGCCATCTTGCTTTTGCCGCTAATCATAGGGTTTAGCAAATAACGAAATATGTGTCAACTCCTATAGTGGAGAAAGGCTTAACCAGTAAAAGCCACGTTCTATAATGATATTATTAATACAGGTGGTATTTGAGTGAAGGTGGAAAGTCATGTGCGATTTTATCCGCTCGACTGATCCGTAAAATGTACCTTAGGCATGAGTAGTCAAAAGCTGATAGCCTCTTAATATCTTCCACTCTCATTGGCCTTGTTTCGCTGCCATTTAGCAAGATTGAGTGAATTACAGCTATATGGACGCACATACTCGTTTTTATGGTGATTCTGCGATAAAGGCCATAAATCGAAAAATGTACTTCTAGCTGTCGTTATCCGGATTTCAATTTTATCCTTTGCCTGACCATTTGGGGTTAGAGTGGATCCAAGCTATTTAAAGTCAAGCAACTTCTTCAATCGGTAATGAATCGATAAAAATAGGTAACCGAGAGAGAAGAGACAGAGACTCAGCCAAGCAAAATTTTTGAGTATTTAATGAATCGAAAAAAAAAAAATTCGAGGTATCCATTCGTAATTCATTTGTTAAACGTAAAGTGAATAAAACTTTTTTGATATTTTAGGCTGAAACAGATGAAGCATGGATAAGTTTGATGGAAGTACAATCATCATTAATTGCAGCTAATCATGAACCTCACCACAAAAAATCATCTCAATATACAATGCTTGATCGTTTTAAACGTTTAACAAATGAGAGATTTATAGAATTACCTGAATGGTGCAATTGCGATTTGCTACCTACATGTCCACCATCTCCTCGTGGTCCTCCAGGTGAACCTGGACAAGATGGAGGTTTTTTAATTTAAGAATTCAACAAATATTTTTGTAAAGAATACAAATTCATTCACTTAACTTTAATGTTTTTATTTAGCATCTTTCAGAACCTGGTGTGCCAGGACATCCTGGAATAGATGCAGTAGTATTTGTGCCAGCGCAATGTTCAGTGGGATGCTTTAAATGCCCACATGGACCACACGGACCACCAGGTCTTGATGGTCCGCCAGGATCGGAGGGCCCTACTGGATCACCTGGCATGCCAGGTAGGCCTGGTAGACCAGGTATAACAGGTCCACAAGGCCCGACAGGCGACATAGGCGAACCAGGTATTTTTGTAATTTGTTTATGATGCTGATATTATTAGTGCTGCAATTTTTCGATTTTCATTTAATTGATTAACACTTTTTAAAGGCGAGCGAGGTCCTCAAGGCGAACCAGGATTGTCGACTTTTTATACTACTGCGAATACAAAGTTAAGACGTGGAAGAAAAGGATTGCCCGGTATACCTGGGCCAGCTGGTGAGCCTGGTATTCCAGGTGAGCCGGGGGAGCCTGGAATACCAGGTCCAGCGGGTCCCCCAGGACCGCCTGGACCAATGGGCGTTAACGCTATACCAGGTTTTATTTTTTAATTCAGTCTTTCATGTAACAAATATTTTTATAAATATGCTAATCATTATTGCAGGCGATAATGGAATTCGTGGAAATCCAGGTCTGCCAGGTGCTGATGCATTTTATTGTCCATGTCCACCGAGATCATTTGCTTTCATAAGAAGGTACCATTAATGCTCTTCGGCAACAAATGCTAAATTCACGGAATGATTTTTCATATAGCCAGTGATTTTATCATTAGTTTTTTTAACCAAGATTTTCTATTAGTTAATTCCTTTGTTCTTTAATTGTTAGTATTATTATCACTCCAAAATGTCCTGTAAAGTAATCCGAAGATAAATTATGTATCAGTAATTTGCAACGACTCACACTAAACACCATTCCATGGTGGTGAAATTGAGGAGCAAATTAAAAAAATTCGAAATATTTAAAAATTCGAAAATTCGAAAAAATTAAAGATTATTTATTGAACGGTCTATCAATAAAGCATGAAATAATTTAATAAAATAATAATAGCTGTTATCATATCAGTTATTTTAAAATTCTTTTCAACATACACCATTCTAATTTTGTAAGTATGCAAAAGCGATATATTCCATCGACTGAGATCAACAAGCATTATCAATTCGATTTCCGCTTCTTTTCGAAGGTAAACCTCTTATTAAATGAGAATTGTAAAGTGAGTAATGCTCATGAACCTTATTATTTGCCAATCCAGAAAGATTTTGATATTATAGAATTTAATTAAAATTATTGAAATTGTTGCAAAAAGTTTGATATAAGTTTGATACAATATCGCAATTATCTGAAGTTGAAGTTAGTAGAAATTATCAGATGTATTCTAAAATGGATTCATTTCAACCGAATACGTCCAAACTGTGCAAGCAAATCATAAATTAACCATTAAATAACCAGTAATATATAACCATTTGTGTAAAATATATAAGTAATCAATTGATATATGTAATAAAAAAAATCAGAGATTCAAAAAAGCGCACTATTAGGAACAGCTAAGATAGTACGCAGAACCCTCAAACCTCTGGTAGAGGACCTAGGATGATCATCAGCACCCACAGGAAGTTTTTTTTTGTGATAAAATTTTTAAAATATTTCCAAAATATTTCCCAGATTATTTATTTATTAATTCATTAATTCGTGTTGCATTTTTTGCAAAACTAAAATTTTTAGAACAACTAGAAGACCTAAAACGATTTGCAACCTTTCTCAGAATCTAATTTATTTTTTCTTGCATTGAGAAACAAGGGCTTGGCTCGTGTTGCCAACACTCTGTGGCATTGCGATTCACTTGTGTTTCTATTGCCAAACGATTTCCTGGCAAAAATTTCTAACTGCACTAATAGCTAAGTGAGCCAACCTAACCGGAAATGGTTGATCTTTTTTAGAATATAAATTTTTTTATTTTCTTTTTTTATTTCTTTAATTTAAATCATCAGTAAGATAAAATTGAATAAGTCGTTTAGTTCGCTTCACTACGCAAAACAGGGCGAATATCTATGCAGTGCAATTGTTTTACTATAGCTTGGCATCGGAAGAATAAATCGTCTTTTAAATATAATTTCGATTCCTGAAACATAGATGCATCGCTGGTTGGATCAATATGCATAAATCAGTGAGGATGAGTTTTTTTAAGACCTGGACTGACAGTCGATCAGGATTGAATGTATAAATGGACCATCGATATATGGATTTAGACGATATAAAAAAGGGTGGCTTTTATTATTGTCGACAACGGCATCGGATCATTATTTGGAAACGTCTTAGCCTTATAGCCAGCGGAATCATCCTAACAATGGTGAACATTGGTGAAAGCTGTTAGACGAAGGAGATTTTCGCTGAATATTGCTAAATTATGCTAATAAAAAGATTTTTTAAATATCGTTAACATTTTAATCAATTATTGTTGGTTTTTTTTTTCGTATTATGCTGAATATAAACAAAGGAATGATAAATACAAATTGAACATGATATCTACGCAATGTTTAGTAAAAATTCATGAATGACACAAAATTCATGAATGACACATGCATCGCAGCTGTTTATATATGCATCTTTAAGCATTCCATTATAAATTTTTCATAATTTTCTCGTCTACGAATTGCTTTATCTGAATTACAATTGCAATTTATTGCGAATTTTTTTATACCACTCTTGCAGGTAAATTTACTGGTAAATTTATTTTGGATTATATTTATTAATTCCATAATTCTTCATAAAGTAAAATTATTAATATCACTCCAATAACGATTTCCATCCGCCGTGCTGCTGTCGTTACAATTCTTCGAAGCATACGATAGTCAGAATCTTTTCATATTCATGCTGTGGCAGTCTTTTCAGACAATTGGACAGTTGCCTCTGATCACTTCCTAGCGTGAAAGCGGGTGACTTTCACTCCTTTAGTTTGGACCAATAGATTAATTCTAAGTTAATTCTCCTTTCTAATCTTTTCTAATCTATGAAAAAATTTTTTCTTTGATTTACCAAACTATAGAAAATCGAAGAAAACTTTTCATATTAAACCCACTTATAAATCTGAAAAAACTGTGTTAAGAATGTTTATTAAGTTATAGTAAGTTTATCTAATTGCATCCATCAGTGATAATTTATTCTAAATGAATGATAATATAAAAGATGTAGGAATGTGCTAATTTAGATAGATGGTGGTGTATCGGCTGATTCCGTTCATTTTAATCGGTCAAATATTTGCATTCGATGAAATTCATAGGATTAAAAAAAGAAATATTTTTTATTTCTGTAATCCATACTTATTCGGCAATCCGTATTTTTATTATAGTAAGAATTTTTTTCGATTTATTTCAAACAAAATTTTTATCTTCTTTGCGAGAAGTTCAATGGGCCACATTCTATATCTGATCTTTCTCTCGGAGCACAAATGCCATGGTTTCTATTCAAGAATGGTGTAAGCATATTTTTCAATAATCCAGTTTACACGATGACGACGACATCACTTATACTTTTTCAAAAATTTGTCTGGTTCGACAAATTGAACGAACGGTCCTAACTAGAATCGGCTCTTTAAAAAAATCACTACGAAAAAAGCATGGATCAGCGAATTCTTTTAGTAGCGGCAATTTGTTCGAAATATTTTAAATTTTCTCTATGACGAAGTCATTTGAGTTTGTTAAATCGCAAGTGCAAGTTTGATTTCAGCTTGTCCTCCTTCTTTTCCAAATCAGCCATTGCAACAATGCCTATGCCCCATTGGTTGGTCAAATTTAGGAATTGGCTGTAATTACAACCGCGAATGCATTCCTCATAATTATGCCAGAACTATCTGTTCAAATGGATGTTGCTGTATGATGCCACAGTCGAATATTCCAATGCCTCAGCCAGCACAGGGTAATTTTACTTTATTGTAATTTATTTTGACAATCCAATCACGAATTATTCGCTGCTATGGCAGAATGGCAGAACATTTTAAAAAAGAATTTTAGAAAATAGTTAAAAATAGTATCATAATCAATACGCGTTCACACTATTTTACCGGACTTTTCCAAACTACATTCCGTAAAAAATCCTTATTTTATTCATTATAATCAAACTAAAATATTTTAATTTTTATATAAAAATAAACTGCATTGACTTTGCACAAATATAGACAATTTGGAAAGAGCATTTATTTGTTGTTAGACCAAAAATAACCACAGTTAATTGTTCCATAATTAAATTCTATCTGTAAATGGCAAAAGAAATTTTGAGATTCTCTTGGCTTAGATAATTCGTCATTATTCGAAAAAGAATAATGCACTCAATCTAAGCTTAGGCTATGCATTTTGATGCAGCTATAAATATTGAACTATTTATTATTTATTTTATTTATTATTTATTTTTAGGAATGATAAAGATTAGCTTAATATGTGATACCCTTATAAAATTAAATGAAGAAAAAATGAAGAAGAAGTAAGAAAGAAGATTTTCAAAATATTTTTTATATTTTTTAATTTATCTATTTTAGTTGGTAAATTTTTGTTCTTACATAATTCAATATTGAATGCCTAATATCCCTCAAATCTTTGATGAATTTTTAATTTAATTTATTTATTCATTTTTTTGATAAATTCAAATATTTCTAATGTTTTTATATAATGTTATTTTAATTTCATCTATTTAGAATTTTTATGAAATATATTGCGCTGATTCTTGAAATATGAACCTACAACAAAAAAATTTAAATTTCCACAAACAGCGGAAATATATTGTAGAGTATCAATTACTCTCTTAAATATTTAGCAAATATATTTACTTTAATAAATATTTGGCCTATGATCGAATTCTTTTCAGTATGCTCAGGAACGAATCAAGGATTGCCTTATGGGCAACGAGCCATGTGTCGAAACGGAGGAACAAATTTAGAAGTAGGCTGCGTTCATGATTTTCAATGTGCTCCGTATAGCATTGTTCCTACTGCATGTTTAGATGGATGTTGCTGCACTGTGCCTCAACCTCCAGCTACCACTCATTCATCTGCAGCAAACACTTCTGGTAACTATTAGATTTAATGAGTTCATTTCGGAAGAAAAATGATGTGCAAATGAAAATTTGTTAAGTGTAAAAAATTTGTTGAAAATTTTTTAATCGAAGCACTTTATTTAAAGCATATTGTTATGATGGTCAACTTTCAAGAATCCAATGTGCAAATTCTGATCAGTGCAATTCTAGGGAAACATGCATGAATGGCCTATGTTGCTTGACACAGCCGAACCAATATCTATGTAAGCCATTAAAATAAAGAATCTTTACTTGAGGCAGAAATATGTTTCAACCTCTAACACCTAAGATTTTCATGATATTTTTTTTCACCTTTTTGTAGCAATTTCTAATGTAGTAAGCCGATCTACTCATTTGAGGATAGGCTCAAAACATGTGCTCCAGCAGCTATCCAAACTTTTTGATGGCAGGACTATCATTTTTTTGTCCTAAAGCTTGAACTAATCCTATCTCTTGCTCTTCTCACCATTAACATAAGAACTCACGCATGAATTTTTTAATTAGCCTTTTAAATAGTTAGTAATAAATATATTTTAATAATATATTATAATATATATATAAATAGATATTTATATTTGTTTTATGAGCGATAATAAATATTGTTCGTTTTCTTTTGAGCGAATTCATAAGCAATTTGCATGTAGCGAGAATCTTATCGTTCCAAATTCATTTTCACTTATACAAATACTTTATAATTTATACAATTTATACATATTAATATACAATTAATTTATAGATGCATGTGGAGGAATGACAGCTATAAATAGTTGCTCAAATGGCGTTTGCGGTAATTCTTTAGTTTGTACAACCTCAAAATACTGCTGTGAATGTGAATATGGCCAGACGGCTGGCCGTTGCACACCGGTTTAGTTCTCTCCTTCATTATTCTTTATTATTTTTTACAAATTTTTTAATTTTTTTCAAAAACAGTTTAATATTTTATGTTTATTATTCAGCTTATTAATTCTTTATTTTTTAATATTTTTATCACGATCAGCTTAAATAAATAATAGATCATAATTTCTCTTTTAAACTTTAAACTTGATCGTAACTATTTGAAATTCAGATAATTTGCCATGGTCAAACTCTATCTTAAATTTCAGAATTGCCCAAACGGTTACGAATGTACATCAAATAATTATTGTTGTCCGAAATGTATGAACCAGAAGGCGCCCTTAGGATCTTGTTTTCGTGGACAATGCGCGCCGGGGTATCGATGTGTTCCAGGCAACATATGCTGTTCATAATATAGCTGATAGCAACTTTATACAGTTGCATTTAACCAATTTTTTTTATCAGTAAAAAAAATTATTGCAGTCAAAAAAAGTCTTTCACAGTTCATATTTATTTTTATATATTTTACATTTTTTTCTTTATATTTCCATAAATTCAACGTTATTTGTTCGAAATTTTCTTTGCAACTCCAATCGACTATAGCTATTCATTTTTTGAATAGTTTTTCTAGAAAATTGTTAAAGTTTAACTTGAATTTCATTTCCAATTTTTTTCCTAAAATCTGATATTTTGACTGAAGAAAATTTTTTGAAAATTTGATAAATTTTAGGAATTTAAAAAATTTGTCGATTTTTATCACTAACGAATTCTATTTACTTTATTTACTTTATCAGTTATGTTGGAATTTTTCCACTCAACTAACCTACTGATTAAGTGAAATGGCTTAACATTTCAGGAAAATATGCTAAGAACTAATCTCTCATCAATTATCAATTATAAATTGGAACTACTGGAATATTGACGATAAAACCTAAGAAAGTAATAGAGAAATAAGCAGAAATTCCATTTAGATTTTCTGGGCAAGAATGATTTATTTAATTTATTTATATACAACTCACGATTTAATAATTATTTTCAAAGATCACTTTGAAGAATTTGATTTTTTTCCGAAATATCTTGTAGTTCTGTTGCTTCTTGCATGGGTAAATCAATGCTTCTAATATGATCAAAATATTTCCTGCATAAATTAAAAACAAAACATTGATAAATGAGAAATAAGCCAACAAGAATAATGATAATTTTTATGATAATCACAATAAAAAATCGTACAATAAATTGTTCATGATGACCTGAAAATATAATTTATAATTTTCTATGAATTTTTATCGTTTTCATTATAAATTTAATTGTATAATAGTTATTAATCCATAATGCCTATAATTTTTTTAATTGTTTACTTATTCTTATACCAAAACCCACTCCGGGTTTGACTTTTTCCACCTGTTACTGAGATGAGACTCCTTCGCCAGAGAGTTGCTATTATTTCACTTATCATTACAGACTGTATAGAAACCCGATAGTTATTTGTGGAAAGAAGTAGAAAGGTAATATTTTTGATAATAGCTTGATTTTTATCAGTCAATTATGTTTCATCTTTAGTGATTCCCGTAAGGGCAGAGAAAGCGAACTCATTGCACTTTCCTTCAGTTGAGACAATATGCAATATTCACCTAACAGTGCCCATTGATTAATTTATGAAACGTCAAACTGATGAATGGTGGTAGAAATATGTTTTGATAAGAATGAATATTTCTTCAGCAAATTCAGTCTCGACAATGCAATCAGATTCTTTTCTGTGCAATGAATAATCTTACCTTGACCAAAAGTGTCGAGAAATGTCTGAGTGCTGAATAAGGCTGTAGAAAACATCACCACAGCCAAGATTCCCCATATTATAAAAATAATTGCCTGAAATAAGTAATAAATATAATAAATAAATAAATAAAATAAATTTTATCGAGGAATATGGAATATAAAAAAATGCCAAAATATTTTATACCGAAAATTTGGATTAAAAAAATTAAAAATTGGCAAAAATAGAAGTTCGACTTACTGAATATATGACAGCTGGCCATAAAAACCTTGCATTATATTTTTTTAAGGCGAATATAGTGAATAAAAAATACAATAGTGGTATCCATATTATAAATATAGACCATGGAAATGAAATGCCAAGTATGAGAAGCCAAACACCCAAGTTTATCAGAAACAGTACCTTTGTAAGTGGCTACAAAAACAAACACAAATTACGATCTGAATATGATTTGGCAATATTTTTAAATTTGCTGATAAAACCATTTTTAACTATCAACTGGCTCAAGCAAAAAATTCATGTCAGCTAAATTATTGGATTTACAAGTATTTACAATTACAAAATACATGGCACACTGAAGAACCACATGAGTAAATCCTAATAAAATCAGGAATCCTTTTTGTGTGCACTCTAATAAAACCGATGGATCCTTTCTCAGAATGATATTTGTAAAATAAGTAAGAATGGAACGGGCATTGTAATGTTCTTTTATTTCTGCTGGTGACGAAGCCACAACTATTAGTAATTCTATAGGTGATGGTGCATCAGTGAAAATACTTGAAATCCATTTCATTTTTTTGTCAGTACAAATCAAACATATATATATATATATTTACGTAAACGTGAAATCGATTATTGACACATCTGAAGGCAACATTGTTTTCCTCGATTTCAACATCCTTTGATGCTAAATTTGTGAAATATTTTTTAATCGGTACTCCTCGAATTTCTTTATTCATAGAAAACTGAAAACAATAACAATAAGGTTATTGATAAAAATGATAATTATTTTAAAAAACCACAGGAAATTCGAATTAGCGATAGACGACGAGATAGTGTTCCAGACAGTTTTTGGAAATTTTCTAACAGAGAACATAGAACAAATATTTTTAAAACTATTATTTTTAAGGACCATTCATATTCCAACCTATTCATAATGTTCGCTTTTGATTTTTTGATCATTTGATCTAACTAACGGAAAGATTTCTCACTTAAGGCATCTGTTCTTAATTTAGAAAAACTTTATATTGAAGAACTCTATACAGTGATACCTAATTTAAGCAAAGTTGAAATTTCAGGTAAAGAAAATTCTAAAACTCAAAAAAAAATCCTTAAAAATTATTCAACGAGAGATTATTTATTCCAACTAGTTTTAGGAAAATTCCTAAATTTTCTCAAACGTCAGGCGATCATGCTTCTCCTCATAATTGTTAATCTGATATGGCGAAATTCTGGTCAACCAATTTCTGATATACTAATATCCTCTTGATATGTGAATCTCTGGTCCACCAATATCTTAATTGACTAATATTCGAATCTGATACCGTAGTCTGCCAGTATATGGCTCATTAATATATCTGTTTTATCAGTTATCATCGGTTTTACCGATATTCCCCCCATATTACTCGCTTTTAATTTGATATTTTCTCTTAGAAAAAAAATCAAGCGATTTAGGCGAATCTATAAAATATTTATTTTCAACCATGCAAATATAATTATTGCTTATCAGTTCTAAAATAATTGAAAGAAATTTAAAAAAATTAAAGGGAGATTTTTGATCAAATATCAAATAATTCTGAAAATTTCTTTTTTTTTTAAATATTTAGAGATTGAAATATTTTTTCAATTATTAAAAATAATTTTTAGATTCCTCCTATCTCTTTTCTTTATATTATTCATATGAAGGATAAAAGGCGGAATAATCTATCACAAAGTTTATTCTCTGGTAAAAATTTCCAACCATACTAGGAAGTAGTAGAATGAGCCTTTATAATTAAAAATGATGAGTTCTGGTTTCTTATGAAAAGCAGCCGGCTGGTTAAGATTATCACATTAGAGGGTCAAAAGTTCGATTCCTGTAAAAATTTCGGAGATTACATTTATATACTTCACCAAGCACATGAATTTCTAACCGTACTAAGAGCCAGTGGAGCGATTTATATACTTCACCAAGCACAAGAATTTCTAACCGTACTAAGAGCCAGTGGAGCGAGTCTAACCAGAAATAGGAACGCTAGCAATTTTTTGCTTATGTAATTCATTTAAAAATATATTTAATAAAAGAATAAAGAAATAAAGAGAAATCCATTTGCGAAAACAAATTGAATCGATAGCGAGCTAACTTCATTCGTACAATCACTACTGATAAACTGGTTATTTATTATCTTTGATGGTTGTTTGGTTGGTTGTTCACGCACAACTCGTCCATACTTGTTTTCATTTTTCTTTCCATGATGTGTAGGCACTTGAATCAGCCACAGTGAATCATTAAAAATAATTGGGAACTTTACTGAAAATTAAGAATTCAACTTACTTTCAACAATAATTTTATTATAAAGTTTTTTTTTTAAATTATGCTGTATGATTGTAAATTATGCATTTATTTTATTTATTACTTTTTTATTATTTGGAAGTTCGACTTTTAAAAAAATTAAGATTTTTTTCATAAATTTTTCGAGATATTTGAGAGATATTTTTTTCGAGAATTCTTAAGGCAAAAATATTTGACTGTATTGAAGTTAGATTGAATTAAATCAAACGCAGAGCTCATCTTTACGAAAGTGTACAGTGTGTACTTAATTTACTTTTTGCGACCTATTAAATGGTTTTTCTCCACAGTCAGTTTCTCCACAGTTTATAGTTTTCACAAAAAAAAATTATTCGATTTATATATAAAAAACCTAAAATTTAGCATTTTCAATACGCGCTTCTATGTTTTTCGATTTTAAATCATATTTTGATTTTTGAATATAATTTCTTCTTTTAACATCTCTCAACATTACTGGTTAGGCAGGTTTCGCTGGCTACGAGAGTTCGAGCTGCTCGATCCGACGCCATCGCTAGTAGTAATAGAAACCATTCCTTTTTCCATATATCACTGGTCCACCTATATGTTCAAAATTTTTCCTGTCTGTATCATTCCAGGACTTGATTCGCTCTTCTCATTTTTGACCTCATCCATCCTAGGTTTTAGCAAATAACAAAATATGTGACACCTCTTTGGTGGGCGGCGAATTATGGTGATTTCGCAACAACTCCTAAAAGTTTCACCAACCGAAGAATACATTTCTTGAATATAATAATAACTGTATAATTTCTTGAATATGCGATTTAAAAGATTGCATCTTTGAAAGACTGATAAATGATAAGGACGTCGTATTTTCATTAATGATTCCATTACTATCTTGTGTAATCGATGTTTTCATCGAAAGTGTGTGTGAAATACAAAAGAAATTTAAATCCTAAATGCAGTAGCAGTACTATAGCAACACTATTTTCAAATTTCATTCATCTCTCTAAGGTCCTCAAATAAAAGAGTCAAGGAATTCCTGTCGAAAGAGTCAAGGAATTCCTGTCGAAAGAGTCAAGGAATCGTATCCAATTCACCACAGCAATCAGTGTGAAGTAATTAAATCAGAAATGGTGTATGTAATTTATAGAAAAAAGCAGAAGTAGAATGCAAATTTTTTATCGACTAAGAAATCGTACGAAACATTATAAAATGAATTATTTATCGAACTCTGATGCATTAAGATTTTTGAAAAAGAGGAGCTCAACAGAATGATTAATTAATGGGTATATAAACATTTGAACATTTCGAAGTTCGCATTCCAAAATTCCCCTATTGCATAGCATTCACCATTTACCATTATAACCTACTTAATAGCAAAAAAATGACAAAGAACCAGCATAATATGAAAAACTAAGAAAGATTTCAGTAAATTACAGTAAAAATGCCATTTCTTTTGAACCTATTGGAGTACCCCACCAGTGTGCATTGGTTATTTGTATATTGCATCGTATTCCCCATTAGAGAATGATCTAAGGTTTGAGAACGGTCAGTTAAACAGAGTCAAAGGCAATTTTCATTTATAAACAACTACAAACACCAAATTCATCTACAATGAATACATAAATTATTTTCGAAATTTTTAGTGATATAACGAGAATATGAGGAAGAATTGAAGTAAAAAATGAAAGAGCTAAAGAATCACTGTGCGATAATACAAAACAAGGGATAATGCTGGCGATTCACCCGTACTTCTACTGCCAAATGGAAAAACTTACCTAGTCGAAGAAGCTAGTGCAGCCAGCCTCTTATCAACAGTGATAAGAGTAGCAATAAGAAAAAAAATTAGAAAATAAAAAAAGTGAGAATTCAAGAAAATGAAAATTCTCTGTTATTCAAAGATAACTGCAAGCAACTAATAACTAAAGTTCTAAGATGAAACAAACTATAAAAAGTCGAAAGACTTATAAAAAAAGACAACAATCACTGCTAAAGGCGTTACGGCCAACTGGCTTGGTGATGCCCGATTGCAAGGCGTTTCCAGACCACATATCTAAAAGAATTTTTTTGCAAATTTCCATTTCAATTAGATTTTTAAAATGCTAATGAATTTATAGATTTGTTAAGATAAAATATGATTGAAAAAATAGTAGCAAAAAATAAGAAAATATAACAGCTAATACAAACAATCATGTACTTACTAATTTTTACAAAATTCAAATATTTGCTTTACCTTATATAATTCGTTTCTATCAAAAACAATGAACGAGTTTCTGAGTACAATAAGTTTTTCAATAGGGCACATCTCCTCACAACCAGGCACGATTAACGTGTGAGTATTGTTGGAACCAGTTTCATTGCGATACAATAACTGAAAAAGGATTTTGCAAGGGTAAAAATAGAAAAGTTTCGGTGAAGAAATACCAAATGATGGACTTTTCTAAATTGAATAAACTAAAATCACCCAGTTATTGAAAGTTCAATTAAAAATAGCAATCTTTGTTCACAGAATGAAAAAAATTACTTTAATCCGTATACCATCGATTGAACGATAAACTTCCATAATGAAACAAGCGCCATAGGTTACCATGCCACTGTCATTAACACCAAAGGCATATTGGAGCGCCAAAACTGTCCTATGATGCTAAAAATTTTACTTTTTTTTAAAAATCCCAGTGAAAAGCTAAAAGAATTGTAGTAATAATATATATCAATATAGGTTTGATTGATAGAGACTTGATTAGTTTAAGAACGGAAAAAGTCCAATCATTTTTCCTTAAAGATAATCAAAAAAAAATAATCTGCCTGAAAAATTTCTTTCTGTTCTCTCTTTACAACAAGAACATTAATGGGAAGAATTTGGAATCGAGCAATGAGCAATGAAAGTTGACCTGGCACCATAAACTATCCTCCACTAACTTTTACATAAAGAAAAAAAAATAACCGCTGAATAAATCATCATTTTTTCTGGTTTGTAATTGGTACCGTTTGAAACTCTTAGTGCTCTTTGCAACCAGTCTGCAAGCATAAGTCCACCATTTAGTTTTATTTTTATTTCTGAATTGAATTCAGTGGATAGTTGTGTTTTTAGCATTTCCTCTATTATTTGCAAGGTTGTCAAATTGTCATGCGAAGCCCATTTTTGATAGATCCATTCGGGTTGCGTCAAGTTATGAAGAATCTGGAAAATCATCATTTTCCCACTATAAATTTTTAGCGAATTTAGATTAGATTAGATTTAGATTTAAATTAAAATCAGATTTGAAACCATTAAAAAATTTCAGATTAAATTCATAAATTATCAATAAAAATGGAAATACAAGAAAAAACTGAATGAAAAATCAGAATGTTACCTCACGTTCGACATTGTAAAGAAGAGCAACTTTAGTAAAATTTAAATTTTGGATACCAGTTGCATTTTCTAGAAATTCCACAATATCGCCATATTTATTTTTCATATATTGCGTCAAATTTTTATATTCTTCTTCAAGCGTTTGCTTATTCGTTGGGCAATTTTCTATAGGCCTCATCACCTAAATTTGCATAATTTTTTTATCGCCTACCTTTTAAATCCGAAATGTTTATTCATTAAGTTATGAATTTGAAAAATTAATAAAAAATAAATTAATATGTAAAAAGCGTGAATTATTCCTCATCAGTTTTTATTTTAATGTAATTGTTTAATTAATTAATTATTATTCTGCGATGAAATGCTAAAGAAAATTACCGTCGTATATTTGCGAATATAAAAAAATATATTAAAATACATAAAAAATATAAAAAAGATCAAAAAATATTGAAAAAATTTGGCTTTCATTAATTTTACAGAAGATGGAGCTCCTTGAGGCGCAGTATAAATCGGTATTGGTCGCCAAGTTTCGCCTTCTAACCAAGTGCTTTCATTTGTTGTAGGAAAAAAACCAAATAACATTGCTTCTCCACTCGCAATCGTACGATCTGTATCTGTTGAAACAACGTGCACCTGAAATAATGGGAGAAGACTGGAAAAAAAAATTTTTTCCATTATTGTCTATCAAAAATTTCGAAAAATTTATGTGTGAAATGAATTGGTCAAGAAATGAATTTTTTAAAAAAATTATAAATAACTGAATATTATAATAATAAATTTTGTATGGAAATTGTAAAGAAATATATGGATTCGGACTGAATTTTTTTAAGCTATTTTACTAGCAGAAATGAGAATGGTATAGTTTTCTGGAATTTTTGATAATTATCTGTAAGCCTGTAGGAGCCTTCTTGAAGCTTATAAACAATTTACCATAGCAATATCTTGAAATGCATCGCATTACGAAGGAAAATTAATTTTACCATTGCTTCATGAAAATATCTGTGATTCCTACTAGCAACGAATTCATAGTTGATGCTAATTTAACGCTAATACTTCAAGGAATGCTAAAATGAAAAAAATTTCAGCAAATGATTGATGAAAATAAAGAAATCCTTTTTTCTTCATAAATTACTTTGGATCATAGATCCATGGGCCCACAAATCAAGAATCTAGGATTGCCTGGAACTAATATCACGATAGAAAATGAATTGGAAATGTTCACTTTTCTCTTACGACAATTCATATATATATTTTCTCCAGCGTTAAAAAGGTTTATTTAAAGATATTCATTTAAAGAGATCAAGAGGAAATCAAGAGGAAATTTTTTGTAATTAACTTTTTCTTCGAAATTTCAACTGATTGATATTTTTCATTATTTTCGCTAGAAAAATATCAATAAGTTAAGGCTTTTTTATTAAGGAAAATTAAATTGAATTTCCATTTGTAAAATGAAGAAGCGAAATTTCAGCCTGGAAAAAAATTTTTTAAGCTGAAAAAAAGAATTTTGTTTGAAAAAAATATTTGCTGCAAATCGGTAATGTTTTTTTGGAATATCATTGGACTAAAAAGATAATAGAAATCATGAGAAAGACATACTTTTTTCACATCGAATTCTGGAATGAATTCACCATATCTCCATTTGAAAAATTTTCCAAGATCGTATAGTTGGCGTATTCCAAGCTTAATTTCCAAAGATTGAGCAATTAGAATTATAAAAAATGAGAAAAAACTATTATAAAATTTATGCCAGAGTAGTTTCTCAATAAGATTCTCAAAAAAAAACCCTACGAAAATTTCTAACATTAGTTAACTGTGACCATCCGTAATGCCAATATGTTTCGTTATAAATATCATTTGGATATGGTAACTGATGTGGAGCTCGATGGCCGTGACGAAAAACTGCTTGCACATATATCAGCTCATCATTCGAGGTAGCATAATTGATAAGATAATAAATCAGCACAATTAATTCAATTCTATGCATATTGCCACTGAAATGAAGAATTTTGCAAACAAAAAATTGGTAATAAATAAGTAATAAGTAAATAAGCAAGTAATAAAATAGTTTTTAGTAAAGCTCCCTCAGTTTTATCTTAGTGTGGTTGAAAATTTCTGCCAGAGAATCACTAGAGACAAATATTTCACGAGCTCTATTCGAATTTTATTAATAACTCAACTATTAATTACTCGTTATACTTTGGAACTGGTTATAATGCTAACCACAAAAATATGATAAAGAGAATTAAGACATGATTTAAACATTATCTAAACTTGATAAGATAACGAAATTTTGCACAACTAGTTTTTGTGACCTCATAAATTTCTTTAAATGTCATTTTTTCGTTTGTTTGATTAATTGCGGTCAAAAGAGTCCATTTAACTATTTTCAAAATTTTTGCCAAAAAGTTTTTTCATTTATGGAGGAAACATTAAACTATTAGAGTTACTTGTATTACTCAAAAAGCGAAGTTACATTCCTAAAAAAAACCAAAAACCTTTAGATAATTCACTATGATTTTTCAAAACGAATTTTTCCGATCTATTTAATGGTCATAAAAAAAAAATTTAAAAATTGAGCTGTAAGCCCATCAAATTTTTTGAATTTGAGCTGGGAATTATTAAAATTGCATTCAAATTGGAGATTAAAATAACGATAAAATAGGCATTAAAAAAAAGAAAAATTTTGATATGTTATCAGCTCTTATAATTTTATGATTGTTGATAATTCAATGCGTTGTTTCGTTGGATTTAATAAAACTATATACTTTTTTATTTTTATTTTTTATTTCAATAAACTGCAAAACCGAATTGTTTATTTATTGTCCTTATTTACCTTCTTCAAAATCTTCTAACTTAAATGATTTTCATAATGAGTTTAAAGAATAGGTAAATAAAATAATTGACAAATGAAAAACTGAATTCGAAGAGAATTAGCAAATAGAAAAAAAATTCTTTTGGAAAATTTGCATTTTCTGGGAACTTTAAAAAATTTTACAATAATATTTATAAATATTATGAATTCAATATTCAATTCAATTTCATATGAATTCAATTTAGTAAATATCATTTTTATCCTTTTTAAGTCTAAAAAAATTGAAAAATTTTAGCTGAAATTAAAATTAAAATTTGACGGAACATATGAAACGACGAGACTTATGAAGAAAGCAATGATTTTCGTTCGTTTTTTGCAGATGTTAAAATGAACATAAGAAACAAGTTTTATATTTATGAGATTAGACAATTTCAAAAAATAATTTATGAAAATTTGCATTGTTATTTTGATTTAAGCTATTGTCACAAGAAAATGAAAGCTCATAGAAATATGAGAAAAATCAAATGTGAGAAAAATCACGATGATAATGCGTATTCATGAAATCAACAGTCTATTTTTAGATTTTCAAATTTGCTTTCTAAGAAATCATTAAAAAATCTCCAGCAAATATATTTCAGAGATTCTTAGGTTTATCAAATAGTCTTTCGACGTATATCACATATTTTCACCATATATAGGTTAATATCAGCTAAAATTATGGATTTATAACTATTTAATTCTAAGAGAGAACTGATCAATCATGAAGAGGGGAAAGAAAAATACCATGTACCATAAAATTCATTGGCTTATTCTCGGTTATTTCATCAAATCTTCATGCAACAAACAAATATTTCCTTTAGCTTAATTTACTTTGTGTTATTTTATGGAAAACTGATACCTTTCACAAAATGATTAAATGATCAAATGAAGTTTAGCTAATTTCTTTAGTAATAATTCGACGACATAAGTGAAGGCAAACTGGAAATTTGAAAAATATTGAGCAGAGAATTTAGGGTTTTACCTGGAAAATGAAGCCTACAATGTACATATTTATTCACCTTGGAAAGATGTCTCTGAATTCCACTAAACTTATTTCTTGAATATTTCCAGATTTCCTTAAAAGATTATGCTTTTTCAATATGCTTTTAAAAAATGCACAAAAAACTGTTTTAATAGGAAATTATTGCACAAAAAATTATTTTAATAGAAAATTGCTTTCAAAAAACTTCATACAAATAATATAACAGTAATAATGATAAATAATACTTCATTCAAATCATTTTTATTTTTTATTTTTAATTGCTATTTTGGTAAAAAAATTTAAAAAAATAAAAAACTGACTGAAAAACCTATTGTTAAGTCATTTATTTATATTATAAAATTTCAATGTGGATATTAATAAAAAAGGATTTATAACTGAAAAATAATAATTTCGCTAAATTCAACCGATTTAAACCATAAACAACTAAAATATTAAAAAAAAAACGAATTTAGAAAAACGATTGAGCGATGCGATTAAGTTTGGCAGTTTAGAGGGATAAAGGAGTCACCAGTGTCAGTCATTTTTATTCAAAGAGCTCTAAGATTATTCATTGTAGAAAATTAGGAGTAGTTCGTTGGGCAAAAAAGAACAAACAAACAATCGTTTAACTTAATTATTTGAAAAAATCTCATCACATTTCTAATTATTATCGAATAATAATAATGCTGAAAATTCCTGGCAGAATTCTCAGCAATCCTTAATGAAGTTTTATAATTTGTTTACGAGGCTTTGAAACTGCAATTATACCAAATTCAACTCAAAACGATTTAAAATTCCTCGCTGAAACACGCAATAATTTCTATAAATAGAAGAATAGATTTAAGCCGCAACAACGCAGCAAACTGGTTTCACTTTTCTCTATAATTCGTTCAGCTAAATCAAAAGAAAGAAAGATTTTAAAGAAATTTTTGAAAATTCATATTTAAAATTAGATATAAAAATAAGTTTGGAAATAAGGAAGGTTCACTTTATCAAACAGTTTTTCTGGCGAATTACTGCTGTAAAAAAAACTTAATTTACTCACTTTGACTATAAAACAATCGTAAAAGATTCTGTAAAAACAAATCCCTTAAGATAATGAAAATACTAATGATTTTCAAAGCAAATTTTGTATTATCTACTAAAAAACATACTTTATGCTTATTTCATAAATTTTCTTACCAGCTAAAAACTCGAAAGAACTATATCTCTTAAATGTTGCTAGCTGTAGATTTGCCTGTGGCACTAAGTGAAATTATAATGCTCTATCAAAAATTTTATCCTAGAAGTTAAAGGAGCTTTCGATACGAGAAATGATCAATAGCGCGAAAATAAGAACGACAAGATGGGCGTTCAAGAATTCTCCCCACTTAAAACTTTTTCCAAGCCAATTTCGCTTTTATCAAAGAATAATTAGTTGCTGAACAAGAAGAAAATTTCATATATGTATGGTTGAAATATATGTTGAACAGTATGTTATACGATCGTTAAATGCCTTTTCTTGATTGAAAAATTTTTTTTTTCAGCCAAATAAGACAAGAATGAAAATATTTACTGTTAAAAGTAAAGTTATATCATCAACTATTTTCATTAAAATTGTTCATTCTGTTTTGCTGGCATCATGAAATGTTGTAATTTTACTTATAAATTTCACTTAAAACATACATGTGAATCATAAAATTACCGAATTACTGGCTAATAAAAAAAAAAAAAAACCCGTTATTATGTTGGACAAAAATATATGTATATATGTAGAAACAAAGATATGGAGGAATTATTTTATAGAAAGCCGATGCTAATATTTAGGCATAAATACATGGTATGACTATTAAGATTATGCATGCAGGAAGAACTCGAATATTTACGAAATCGACGATTTTGCCAAGCGTTGGAGAAAAATTAGTATTAGCAGTAGTTTAAGAACATAAGAGAGTATATAACAATGCATGCATCAACAGAATATCAAATATTTTAGAGGTAGTTAAGGAAATACAACTCTTCACGCCGAGTGTCTTTTTTCGTATTCGAGACTACATAATCGTTGACAAAAAGGGGAAACTTTTTCCTTTTAACAATTATGATTTGACAATTCAGTCGAATTCGATAGCATTTACAAGTATAAGTGGGAACTCTTGAGGTTTCTTTGGGTTTTTCTTACACTTTTTTGCTATTTATTCCAAATCTAACAATTTCGCACGAAGAAAATTGTGAGATAATTCGTGAAAGCTTTCAAATTCCGCGATCAGAATTTGTTTAAAAAATTTCATTAGGAAAACTCCTCAATTTCAACCAGCGTTTTTGAAAAATAAATCCAAACATTGAGGGATATCAAAAAGTTCCATTTTCCAACATGCAACGTTATATATTGAGCCTTAATTAATCGCTGATAACCGATTTAGGAAAAAACTTGCCTAAATTTTTCAATTTTTTATGATTGAAAAGTAGTGAAAAGTAGTGGTAAATTCATACACTAGTACACTACTTTTAATGGGCTATCACGATAAGGCAATGATCAGTTCATAAAGGATCAGAATTTTCTTAGATTTCCATTTTCGTTTTTTCATTTATGATTAAATTTCATTACTTCCATATATTATTTTCCAATATTTCAGAAGAATCGTAAAATGCAATGATACACGACGTGAAAAAGTTGAGGGCAATTTTTAGAAATTTAATTACATAAGAGTGTAGTTGCACGATTCTATAGGATTTTAAGGATTCCAAGTCTAACACACCATTTCACCATTTCTGCTTGAGCCGATCCTAATGGAGGAAAAGTCATTTGGAGGCAAAACTATGATCGCCAGCATCTTTCCAATTTTACTTGAGATAACAAGTTTGTTATTATTAAAAGAAATGGTACCCAACTCGATGTGGAAGTACCCTTTCCCAATTATGTTGCATCCTTCCAATTTCCTAGTGGGGTAATTGGAATGCAATAAATTAAATATAATAAATCAAATGTAATATATTATAATAAAATAATTAACAAAAAAAGAAAGTGAAATTGCCATATTATGATTATTAAAAACAAAATAAATCAAATAAAAATCTGTTCAAATTTATAAAAGGGAATTTTTTTTTTTAACTGAACATTGAACACATACGCATTTTGTTGGTTCCACTCCCTTCTTTTTTGCTACAACAAACT